TGACTCCTTTAAGGTGAGGACAAAATCTGAAGCCTGTCTACATGTTTAAGCAACCCGAAACAATCAGATGGAACACAAGGAGATTGAAGAGAAACAGATGTAGAAAAGTTGGCCAGAGGTCAAGAGCTGATTCAAAGGGCTGGGGCGCGGGTTCTGCATGTTCGCTCTGGGTTGGCTCTTTGGCACATTTTTGCTCAGGGGGCTCTATGGGGTGCCGGGGATTGAACCCAGGTCGGCTGCGTGCAAGGCCACCACCCTCCCTGCGGTGCTATCTTGCTTTTACCACAAACAGGTGGTCCCAGGAATTCTGTTTGGGGGGTTACTTCGCCCGTTGCAACTCATCAGTTGCAGGAATTCGCTAAGGGGCATCCTTCAAAACTTCTTCTATATCTCTGTAACCAAAAGAACATCAATATTCTGTTTCCCCTGTGGCAGCACCAGGACCGAGCCTGTTTTTGAAGTCAATAAAGACGCATCTGTCATTTTTGGAAAATCAATAAGGAAGGCATCTGAGGGGAAAAAAAAAACAAAGTCTGTTGAATAGGAAAAAAACAGATGAGCATCCAGGAATCCAGCTCTTTCGAGAAGTAAATGCCCTTCTTTCGTCCATAATATGGTCAGAGCATTGTTCCTTTAATTTAGGTCTTCCAATAAAACAAAACATAGGTTTTACCAGTTGAGAGAAAAGTTTTGTTTTTTTTGGGGGGGGGGGCTTTTTTTGGGTCATACCCAGCAATGCTCAGGGGTTACTCCTGGCTCTGCATTCAGGAATTACTCCTGGAAGTGCTCAGGGGATCGTTTCAGATGCTGGGGATCGAACCCAGGTTGGTCACGTGCAAGGCAAAAAGCCCTGCCCACTCTACTATCCTTTGGCCAAAAAAAAAAAAGGTGTCTATAACACCTAAATTTTTACAGATATTTATTGATCAAAGACTATTCGGCTATGAAGGATAAAGTTTACTATTCATTCTTCTACTAGACCACTACCTAAGCTAGGAATCGTTTCCTTCTATTGCCATGCCATCTGTGGAAAACCTGTCCCACCGAGAGAAGGAACTGGAATCATAAAAAAAAAAAAAAGAAAGAAAAGCGCGCGTGCGCGCGCATACACACACACACACACACACACACACACTCACGAGAAAACCGTAATCTCACGTCCCACATGCCCTGCCCCCTCACCAAATCGCTGTCCTGTAGGAGTCAATCTGTTTTTATTACCTGTTCGAGACTGGATTTAACCTTCTGGCATAATGAAATGGCTTGTGAGGACGTGAGGGGCAGTTTGCAACTTAGATAAAATAGAACTCAATTTAGCTCGGAGGTAAATATGGTCTGAGTGGAGAGAGCACAATCCTTAGAGAGCCTTTCCTGCCAAGGGCAGTGTTAAAGTTTATGCTAATATTGCCTTTTCCTTCTGGTCTTCAGGGTCCAGTGAGGTGCCCACTGAGCACAGCAGGTAAACAGACTGCCGGCTCTCTTTTCCTGAGAACCCTGGGCAGCGCTTTGGCTGGTAAGTGCCACTCAGTGCAGGCCCAAGTTCTTTCAGGACAAGAAAGTACTTCCCAGTGACCTCACTGCTGATGCAGTTTCCTTTACCAGGGAACTGTGTGCAAGTTCCGATTTGGTAGAGTCTACAGCACTCCTACAGTTCACTTGAGCACATCCTCGGGAGGTATACTGGGCGCACACACAAAGAGGACATCTACTGGGACAAAGAGGACAGCCAAGCCCTGGGCTAACTCCCATGACCTAAGAACAATGTCACAGTGAGCCTGGATAAAAACCCTGGGTAAATTATTCAGAAAGTCGCACACCTCCTATGGGAAAATGAGTACACGGCTTTCAGAAAATGAGATCTCTGTAGAAGCTGGCCTGGCTTGAGTTTCCTGCTTGAACTTCGAGGTTCTGAGGAGGCCCAGCAGAATAATGGGTACTGACTTGGCCCAAGGCAAGGAGGATGTGCTTGATTCACAGTATCGATGCAGGAAAAACCAGTGAGAGTGAGGGCTGAGGGAGGGAAACCCGCTGGGGTCTGAGCTTTTGCTTAGTGACTATTCCCTACTTTGTTTCAAATGTGTGTGGCTAAAACTAACAAATGCAGCAGTTTTGCTTTACAAGAGTCACTGCACTTCACCATGATGTGGTAAGAGCTGAAAAGCTTATTTTTTTCACATAAGAAAAAACAAACACAAACAACTGTAAGCAAACAATAAAGAACTTTCCAGCATACTACTTCTTAAAAGGAGAAGAGACTGAAAATTTTTGGTATGGTCCAGCGGGGAGGGTGTTTGCCTTGCCTGTGGCCGACCTGGGTTAGATTCCCAGCATCCCATGAGCACCAGCAGGAGTGATTCCTGAGAGCAGAGCCAGGGGTAACCCCTGAGCATCACCGAGTGTGACCCACAAAGCCAAGGATAAAAAAAGGAAGAAAATTTTTGGTAGGCTTTGTTCGAAGTTCTATCAAAAGCAGCAACAATCTATAGTTTTATGTTCTTGCAACATCTGCTCCCAGAAATCCTGGATTTCCAACTGAACATTTCCCTAGAGATTTTTTCCCCCCAATTCCATTAAGCTGGTTCTAAAGTTGCCTCTGGCATGGAACATTGTTCCTTTCTCATACTGTTTCCCAGCTAAAGAAAATGCCTGTCTGTCTCATAAACACCAATTATATGCCAAATAAATAGAGTTTTCCCACTGCCCCTCGGAAGTCAGGTTCTGGGGCCAGAGAGATCGCACAGCTGGGAGGGCGTCTGCCTTGCATATAGCCAACCGGGGTTCGTTCGATCCTCCGCATGCCCTAGGGTCCCCCAAGCACCGTCAGGAGTGATTCCTGAGTGCAGAGCCAGGAGGAACCCCTGAGCATCACTGTGTATGACTCAAACACCCAAACCAACCAACAAAAAATAATAATAAAAATAATAAGCCAGGCTCTTATTAAACCACAGCATCATCACATTCCTATTTAAAGATGCATTTCTGGGTGTGTTTTTTTTTTTCTTTTCTGGAAGACAACCTTTTTTGCTAGCATGAAGGTCCAGCCATAGGAGTAAGTGCAATTCTCAGATTGCTTCAGTTACCTGTTGCCTTGGAACTGACAAGCACAAGATGCCACCCCCCGTCCTCCCGCCTTTCAAGTTTGGCCCTTCTGAGGGAGCCAGCGAACTGCTGGCCTCCCAGACAGAGCCTGGCGGTATCAGACACCAGCCCCACTCCTCAATTTCTTTGCAATCACCCAGGCCTCTGCAAAACAATCCTTTAAACACCTACCAACTTAAATACGCTGAAACGAAGATCAAAACAAAACAAAAAGGAGGTCCCGCTCAGTCCAGAGAAGCTGGAGGTGTCTTCTCTTTTCTCTCTGCAGGGCTGACCACCGCAGACAGCTCCCCAACCCCCCCACTCTGCGTCCAGACAGGGCGTTGTAAAGCGCGACATCATTTGGTAAGTCCTTTCTGACCCTCAGCGCTGGATTAAGAATCGCAGAAATACCCAGAATTACCACAAAGGTCCCTTGACAGGTTCCAAAGCTTCGGAATGATTAAGTAACCAAACCTGATCACAATTGATCCCTTGGTCGTTTATTGCAACGTGTCTCTGCTGTGTGTGTGTGTGTGTGTGTGTGTGTGTGTGTGTCCATACGTGCATGTGTCCGTACGTGGCGTGTGTCCGTACATGCGTGTGAGGTTCTGGTCAGTGCCCTGTAGTGTACTGTTAAAAAGTGAAAAAGTGAAGTTCTTGGAGTGGCCAGCCGCTTACGTGTAGGCTGCACAGACATGAGACGATTTAGTGAGGTTCCTCGAGGGGACTAAAAATAGAAACTATCACACAGGTGGAAGGGATGGACCGTGGGAGAACCAAAACGTTGAATTTCTTTCACCACAACAATCGCGTGGGGGGGGGGGGGAAATCGTGTTTAAAACATCCTATAAAAGTTATCAAACGGGAGGCCTGTGGCTTTAAAAATACAATACAGGCTCTTTTTTTTTTTCCTTCTTTTCCCTTTTCCTGGAAAGTGACAGTTTGGATGGACGATATTGCTGTGACGGGGACCCAAGGAGCCCAGAGCCGGGATGAAGCTTTGGTAGTCAGCCTGGACACGCGACTCCACCCGGACTCCAGCCCTTCACTCCCAACGCCCAGAGAACTCCCCCCCACCGAGCCTCCTGACACCCCAACTCCGAGCCGGGCTCTGAGGGGGGAGCAATTCTCGAAACAGAAACAGTTCCCATTCCCACACCCCTCCCTGTCCCCATCCCCCAGGGACCACACTCACGAGGGCAAATCAGTCAGCAGGTGGGTCTGCCTGGAAGCTGGGGCTGTTCCTTCCACTTCCTGTTGTCTAAAGTGCTTCGAGGTGTCACTTGCCCACCAGGACACTTGCCACGGTGGCGGCCGGCAGACCCCGTCAACAGGCTGAATAACAGGTGTGTTGTCTGGCCAGAGAACCGCACAATCCCTGTCTTAAAATGCGTCGCTGTGGATTCCGGCTGGGAAGGCGGGTTGGGGGGTGGTGGTGGTGGGGGGTCCCTCCTCCACGGGGGTCCTGAATGGCTCGGCTGATTCCAATCAAGGCTCCTTCCGGGGGTTCCGCAGACCTTGGGCCAATGCCCTGACCGTCACCGGGACGCGATAGACCCAAGTACAGTGTTCAAACAGGTCTGCTTGGGGAAGAGACTGTTGGTCAGTGTTTCATTACAAAAAAACCCAACAAACAAACAAACAAAAAAAATCGTGGGTTTTTTTTTTTGTTTTTTTTCTTCTTATAAAGTTAACAAACCAAGGCTGTTGATCCCTGAATTCGAAGGTTGATTTGCTTATTTTTCCAAAGTGTGAGGTGGGGGGGACAGACGTGGGCGGGCGGCTGCTCCCTTAGATTGGCGACACCCGCGTGGCATCCGGGCGCGGGAGGTGGCGTTTTTTTTTTTTTTTTTGTGAATCGCAGGACCAGCCCGTGACCTGGGCGGCCCAGAGGGGAGGGGGGCCGCCCCCTCCCCGGCCACGTTTCAGTCGGGGCCGGTGGTGGACACCGAGCCCGACGCCGTCTCCCCGGCCCCCACCGGCTCCTCCTGCGACGGCGACTCCTCGTCGGCCTGTCCCCGCGACGTGACGGTGGTCTCGGGGGAGATGCTGTGGGCGCCCTCGAGCGTGACGCAGCCCGGGTGGTTCTTGCGGAAGTGCTGGTTGAGGATGGCCTGGAAGGGGAAGCTCTTGCCGCACACGTGGCAGTGGAAGGGCTTGTTCCCTGTGTGCTTGCGGATGTGGTACTCCAGCTGGTCCTTGCGCGTGTACTTCTTGCCGCACATGCGGCACACGAACGGCGTGATGCCCATGTGCAGCCGCATGTGCCGGTCCAGGCTGCCCTTCTGGTTGAAGGACTTGGCGCAGTAGATGCAGGTCAGCCGGGGGTTGTAGCGGAACCAGCGCTCGGACACCTCCTGCTCGCGGAGGTACTCCACGTAGCCGCTCACGCCCATCATCGCCGACTCCTCCACCTGCTCCGGTGGGGTGCGGGGCAGGGGGGTGGCAGGGAAGAACAGACAGTAAGCAGAGGCGGGGAGGAGAGCCCGGTGGTTAGCGCGCATTCTGCTTTTTAAGGTTGGGATTTTTTTTTTTTTTTTTGCTTTTTGAGTACAACCCGGTAATGCACAGGGGTTACTCCTGGCTCATACACTCAGGAATTACTCCTGGTGGTGCTCGGCGGACCCTATAGGATGCTGGGAATCGAACCTGCGTCGGCCGCATGCAAGACAAACGCCCTACCCGCTATGCTATCACTCCAGTCCCTATCCTTTTTTTTTTTTTTTGGCTCTTTGGCTCATACCCGGCGATGCTCAGGGGTTCCTCCTGGCTCAGCACTCAGGAATTACCCCTGGCGGTGCTCAGGGGACTCTACGGGATGCTGGGAATCGAACCCCGGTCAGCCTCGTGCGGGACCAACACCCTCCCCACTGTGCTATGGCTCCAGCCCTTCTGCTGGCTTCTAGCAGCGGCCAACAGGAAATTAATTGCTCCCAGAAAATAGAGATGATGGACTGAAGCAATAGTATAGCGGGGATCCCTGAGTGCAGAGCCGGGAGTAAGCCCTGAGCACCACCAGAGCCCGCAGTAAGCCCTGAGCACCACTAGGAATGGTTCCTGAAGGCTGCTAGGAGCAATCACTATGCACTGAGCCAGAGTGAGCCCTGAGCACAAAGCCAGGAGCCAGCCCCGATCACGGAGCCAGGAGTCAGCAGTGAGCACAGAGCCGGGAGTCAGCGCTGAGCACAGAGCTGGGAGTGATCCCTGAGCACAGAGCTGGAAGTCAGCCCTGAGTGCAGAGCCAGGAGTCAGCCCTGAGCATCACCAGGAGTGATGCCCAAGCACAGAGCCTGGAGTGATCCCTGAGCACAGAGCCAGGAATCAGCCCTGAGCATCACTGGGCGTAAACCAGTAAGAAAGAACGAAAAAAAAAAGCAGAGATGATGTGGGGGCTGGGTACGTGGCTCAGCGGGGAACACGCTTGCCTTGCACATGGCTGACCCGGGTTCGATCCCCAGCACCCTCCCCGCACCCCGCCCGGAAACATGCCCCAAGAACCGTGGCCAAGCAGAGGTTGATTTCCCAAAGGCACACGGTGGCGGTCGCCTCCCTCACTGGCCCACGTACCTGCGAGCAGGGCTGCTTGGGCTCGTCCATTCTCCCCGGAGACTCGCTCCTGGCACGGTGCCGCTCGGTCAGGGTCACCACACTGCCGGAGGGGCTGAACCTGGCAGGGGAGAAGCCCGACACGGCGCTCAGGAAGAGGACTATCACACGATTCAGGCTGGCACCGGGCGAGAACTAAGTGTTCAAAGTAAGGACAGGGAGATATGCAGCAACCTCTCAGTAGAGTGGGTGCCAGGAACGTCTCCATGCGTCCCAGCCCTGAGATTTTCGCAGCCTCTCCTTCCTCGTCCTTCCATCTCCGTATGTGGTTTGTAGTATCCGTATTGCAAACCACAATGCCCAAAGGGGGGGGGGGGGGAGAGGGAGGAGGAAGAGAAAGAGAGAGAGAGAAAGAGGGAGAGAGACAGAAAGAGAGAAAAAGAGAGAAAGAGAGAGAGAGAAAGGGGGTGAGAGAGAGAAAGGGAGAGAGAGAAAGGGAGAGAGAGGGAGAGGGAGAGAGAGAGACAGAAAGAGAGAGACAGAGAGAGAGAGAGAGAGAGAGAGAGAAGAAAAGTTCCGCCATAGAGGCAGGCAGGGGGTGGGGATGATGGGAGAGACCCTGGGGACCCTGGTGCTGGGAAATGTGCCCTGGTGGAGGGACGGGTGCTGGGACACTGCAGGACTGAAACCCAACCATGAACAGTTTTGTTTGCAAGGGTCTATCTCACAGTGATTCGATAAAAAAAAAAATCTTGGGAAAAAAAGAAAACGAAAAAGTGACTGGGGTTGGAGCAACAGGCAGAGGGGAGGGCATTTGCCTGATACGCGGCTGACCCAGGTTCGATCCCCAGCATCCCAAAGGGTTCCCCAAGTGCTGCCAGGAGTGATCCCTGAGTGCAGAGCCAGGAGGAACCTCTGAGCATCGCCGGGTGTGACCCGAAAAGCAAAAAAATGAAAAAGTAACTGGACTTAGCCGTGAGCACCTACCTGCCTTACGTGAGGCCCTGGGTTTGGTTCCCAGCATGACCCCCGCACCCCACGTAAAAAAAAAAAAAAGGTAATTACATTCCCCTCTATGCTATACCCAAGGAAAGGAAAAGAAAGCCAACTTGGGGCTGGAGTGATAGTACAGCAGGGAGGGTGTTTGCCTTGCATGCAGCCGACCCGGGTTCGATTCCCGGCATCCCACAGGGTCCTCCGAGCACCACCAGGAGTAATTCCTGAGTGCAAAGCCAGGAGTAACCACTGTACATCGTCGGGTGTGACCCAAAAAGCAAAAAAAAAAAAAAAAAAGAAAAGAAAAAGAAAGCCAATTAATGATCCCATCCCATCAGTATAGGACTTGAGTAGGGCATCTGCCTTGCACATGGTCAACCAGGGTTCGATCCCCATCATCCCATAGGGTTCCCCCAGTCCACCAGAAATGACCCCTGAGCACAGAAACCTGAGTAAATCATGAGCGACACCAGGTGTGGCCGCAAAACAAAAAAACAGAATCTGATCTAGAGTAAGAGTTCAGGGGATCAGGTAGAGAGATAACACGGGAGTTTAGATACTTGCCTAGCACGTGGTGGACCCCAACTGTATCCCTGGTACCCCGTATGGTCCTTTGAGCCCCACCAGGAGTGCTCCCTGAGCACAGAGCCAGGAGTCAGCCCTGACACCAGCGGGTGTGACTCAAACACCCCCCCACCCCCACCACATAAGGGCAGATTCTATCCCAGTAAATTTAAGAAATACAAAACAACCCAATGCAGAGATCGTATGACTTGGTGAAGCGCGAAGGCTAAATATAAACTCCTCTGCTTGCATAAGTACTGGGAGGTCGTGTAAAAATAAAGTGAAACTGGGTCAATCATTTTTCTTTTTTTTTTTTTTGCTTTTTGGGTCACACCCGGCGATGCTCAGGGGTTCCTCCTGGCTCATGCACTCAGGAGTTACTTCTGGCAGTGCTCGGGGGACCCTATGAGATGCTGGGAATCGAACCCAGGTCAGCTGCGTGCAAGGCAAATGCCCTCCCCGCTGTGCTGGTGCGCCAGCCCCGTCAATCATTTTTCTGTCCTCCATAGGAACCCTCAGGCAGTACTGGGGCAAGGGGCCGCGAGGAATGCTGGGGCTCAAACTCTGGTCCTCCCAAGCGCCACGCACTTGCTCTGCCCTGTGCACCCTGATAATTGAGTTTCTTTTACATCACTACGAGGGTCCGTTTTCCTCCAGCTGGGAGGGCAGAGCCAAGTTTGCTCTCCAACATCTCACAGGCTCCCCACCAGTGACCCCTGAACACTGTGGGGTTCGGCCCCAGAACTATTTCAGAGTGTTGGGGCAAGTTAGAGATTAAACATCTCTGCACACGGCTGGAGCGATAGCACAGCGGGGAGGGCGCTGGCCTTGCACACGGCCGACCCGGGTTCAATGCCCGGCATCCCAACCAAGCACCGCCAGGAGTAATTCCTGAGTGCATGAGCCAGGAGGGACCCCTGAGCATCACTGGGTGTGATCCAAAAAGGGAAAAAAAAAAACCCTACCAAAATATCTTTGCACTTCAGCTGCTACTTCCGGCCCAAGTCAAACACAACACTGCGGTCTCAAACACTGCCCATCCCAAGATCACCAGATGGAGAACTCTTAAACCAAGCCAGAAGGGATGGTAGATTCTCCCAATTTCTGTGACTCACATCATGGCCAACCCGAGTTCAATTCCTCTGCCCCTCTCGGAGAGCCCGGCAAGCTACCGAGAGTATCTCGCCCGCCCGGGAAAGCCTGGCAAGCTCCCCGTGGCGTACTCGAGATGCCAAACACAGTAACAACAAAGTCTCACAATGGAGACGTTACTGGGCCCGCTCGAGCCAAATCGATGAACAACAGGAGGACAGTGACAGTGACAGGTCCCAGATGTACGTCCGGAGGTAAACCCAAGTCACAGCTTCTTTAGCTTTCATCGATCACGGTCAACTTTTTTTTATTTTTCCTCTTTGGTTTTTGGGCCACACCTGGATGCTCAGGGTTTATTCCTAGTTCTGGGCTCGGGGGACCCTATGGGATGCTGGAGAATAGAACCCGGGTCAATCACACGCAAGGCAAAATGTCCCACCTACCCGCTAAACTCTTCAGCCCTTTCCAAACGTTTTTTATTTTTTTATTTATTATTATTATTTTGCTTTTTGGGTCACATCTGGCGATGCACAGGGATTGCACAGAGGTTCCTCCTGGCTCTGCACTCAGGAATTATCCCTGACGGTGCTCGGGGGACCCTATGGGATGCTGGGAATCGAACCCGGGTCGGCCACGTGCAAGGCAAACGCCCTCCCCGCTGTGCTATCACTCCAGCCCGTTTTTCTTATTTTTGGGACTGAAGAAATAGCACAGTGGGTAGGGTGTTTGCCTTGCACGCGGATGACCCGGGTTCAATTCCCAGCATCCCATAGGGTCCCCCGAGCACCAGCCAGGAGTGATTCCTGAGTGCAGAGCCAGGAGGGACCCCTGAGCATCACCGGGTGGGACCCAAAAATGCAAAAAAAAAGTTTTCATTTTTAAGATACCATGATTTACAAAACCGTTCCTCATCAGCAGCACTGTCCTCCTGTTGTTCATTGATTTGCTCGAGCAGACCCAGTAACGTCTCCATCGTGAGATTTGTTGTTACTGTGTTTGGCATATCAAATATGTCACGGGAGCTTGCCAGGCTCTGCCATGCGGGTGGGATACTCTTGGGAGCTTGCCGGGCTCTCCGAGAGGGATGTAGGAATCGAACCTGGGCCGGCCGTGAGGTCATCAAATACAGACTAATTTTAGAAGACAAACTGCTCGGCCACTGTACATCCCCTGGCTTGGAGCAGGGCAAAGTGGAACTCCCCAAGGCCGCATATCCGTGGTGAGGGCATACCCGGGCAGGGCAGGCGTGCCTGGGTCCCAGTAGAAGCTGTGCCCCCTGCATGGCATCCAGCGCCCTGGCAGTGACAGGTCCCAGTCTGTTTTGTCTTTTGGGGGCGCCCCCCTCCCCCCCGTGGCTGTTCTCAGGGCTGACTCCTGGCTCTGCACTCAGGAATCACTCCCGTGGTACTCCACTTGACCTAATGGGATGCCGGGGATCAAACCCCGGTTAGTACCTGCAAGGCAAACGCCCTCCCCGCTGCCCTATCGTTCCAGCCCCGATGGGGCCAGTCTGATCCATGGGAGGGTCTGACTTAACCCGAGTGCTCAGGGCACGGTCCCTTGGGGAGGACCAAGCGCTTTCCGCTTCTGGAGAAGAATGTGACTCTAGCTTCCTCAGGGTTTTGTTTTTTCTTTATTTTATTTTTTTTTTTTTGCTTTTTGGGTCACACCCGGCGATGCTCAGGGGTTCCTCCTGGCTCTGCACTCAGGAATTACTCCCTGGTGGTGCTCAGGGGACCATATGGGATGCTGGGGATTGAACCCGGGTCGGTCCGTGCAAGGTAAACGCCCTACCTGCTATGCTATTGCTCCAGCCCCTCAGGGTTTTGTTTTTGTTTGGGGGCAACACCTGGTGATGCTCAGAGGCTACTCTTGACTCTGCACTCAGGAATCACTCCTGGTGGGGCGTGTGGGGGCGACGGGGGGGGGGGAGGGATTATCCGGGGTGAATCTGGGTCAGCTCCGTGCAAGGCAAGCACCCTCCTCACTGTCCTATCACTCTGTCCCCCCTTTTCTTTTCCTTTCTGGGGTCACACTTGGCAATGCACAGGGGTTACTCCTGGCTCTGTAATCAGGAATCACTCCTGGCGGTGCTCGGGGGACCCTATGGGATGCTGGGAATCGAACCCGCATTGGCCGCGTGCAAGGCAAACGCTCTCCCCGCTGTGCTATCACTCCAACCCCATCACTCTGGCCCCCTTAGAGTCAACTTATTCTGCCCAGGCACACGGGATCAGGCACGTGGGGTCAGGCAGACATTCCTTTTCTCCTTTTTGGGTCACACCCAGCAATGCTCCCGGCAGAGCCAGGCAAGCTCCCCGTGGCGTATTGATAGGCCAAACACAGTAACAAGTGTCACAATGGAGACATTACTTGGCTCGTTCGAGCAAACCGATGAACAACAGGAGATCAGTGACAGTGACAGTGACCCAGCAATGCTCCTGGCGATGCGCGGGGGACCATCCAGGACGCTGGGGATCGGACCCGGGTGGAACGGCGAGGGCCTGCCTGCTGGTGGCCCACGACAACGGGCCGAGCGAGCCACTCACCTGTCAATTTCGCTGCTGGTGGGCCGCGCCACCTGGGCGCCGGATGACCCCAAGGCGTAGTTCTCGGGTCCCACGGAGCTGGGCCCGGTGGTGTCGATCACCATGGCTGTGACCTCCTCGGCGCTGCTGCCGTCCTCGCCCGAGGGCTGGTTCTCGGGCCCCAGCCACTCCTCCAGGTTCTCGGTCTTGATGTGCACGGTCCCCAGCACCCTGACCTCGCCGTCGCTCCCGACCCCGCGGTCGGCCACGCCCGTCTCCACGTACCACTGCCCGGCCCGGTTGATGCGCAGGATGGTCTCGCGGCTCTCCACGTCCGAGCTGGGCTCGATGATCTGCGGGCTGGTAGACTCCTCGGGGGGGCTGAGCTCCCGCACGTCCAGCAGGCCACCGGCCTGGCCCCGCCGGCCGCACTGCGGGGTGTTCAGGCGCGGGCTGAGGGAGCGGCCAAGGCCGGGCGTCCGCCGGGGGGACTCCGGGGGTGGCCGCTCGGGGTGCTTGGTCCGCGGTTGGCCCAGCTCGGCCTCCACCTCGGCCACATTGATCTTGAAGTGGATGCCCTCCAGGATCTGCGTGCACTTGTCGATGATGTGTTGCATCTGCAGGAAGCTGGCGGCCGTCAGGTAACTGATGATGTCGGCCAGCTGCAGGCAGATGCGGCCCGTGTAGCAGAAAGACAGGAGCTGCTCGAACACCGTGGGGTTCTTGATGACGGAAATGGAGACGGTGTTCATCTCGGTCAGCGACATGTGGTCGCGGAAGTAGGGCGAGCTGGCGGCCAGCACCACCTTGTGGGCCCGGAACGCCTGGCCCTGCACGTGCACCACGATGTCGCAGAGGCGGCCCTGCATGCGGAGCTGGTTCAGGTGGCTGAGGACCGAGTTACTGAAGTCCGGGATCTCCAGATGAATGTTCCCTCCCTTCTCCATGGTGGGGCCTGGGTGTGGAGGCAGGCATTCAGCCCTGCAGGAAGAGAACCCAGAGTCGCGTTAATGCTCGCGGTTCCCAGCCCCGGGAGTTCGCAGAGAAAGCGCGAATACGGGGCCGGAGCAGCGGGGAAGGCGTTTTGCCTTGCACACGCCCGACCTGGGTTCGATCCCCGGCATCCCATAGGGTCCCCAGAGCATCACCAGCAGTAATTCCTAAGCAAGAGCCAAGAGGAACCCCTGAGCACTGCTTACAAAAGCCAAACAAACAAAAATAAGAAATGTAGAGGCTGGTGCAAAAATCAAGCATGCGCATAGCTGACCCGGATTCGATCCCTGGCATCCCACCGGGTCCCCTGAGCACTGCCAGGAGTGATCCCCAAGCACAGAGCCCTGGGCATTGCTGAGCGGGTGACCCAGCAACAATAAATACAGCATCTAGAAGGCTCTCCAGGACGCATGCTTCCTTAAACACGTATCTCCACTTGCTTCCCTGTTTCTTTGCTTACTTCCACGCTGAAGAAGCCCATGCTCTCTCTTGAACATATACTTCTCTTTCTCTCTTTTCTTTTCTTTTTTTTTTTTTTGATGTTTTTGGTTGTTTGCGAGCCATGCCTTATGGTCCTCAGCCAGGCTTTTGATGACGGAAATGGAGACGGTGTTCATCTCGGTCAGCGACATGTGGTCGCGGAAGTAGGGCGAGCTGGCGGCCAGCACCACCTTGTGGGCCCGGAACGCCTGGCCCTGCACGTGCACCACGATGTCGCAGAGGCGGCCCTGCATGTGTTCAGGGACTCCTCCAGTGGGGCTGGGGGACCACATGGGACACCAAAATTGGAGATCGAACCCTGGTAGGCTGTATGCAAGACAAGCGCCCTACCCACTGTATTCGCTCTGGTCCCTCACACATCTTTCTGAGCAAGTTTCGTTTACAAAAAACTATCGCGCGTCACAAAAAAGAGAAGGAAAGAAAAAAAAGAGAAGGAAGGAAGGAAAGAAAGGAAGGAAGAAAGAAAAGAAAGGAAGAAAAGAGAAAGGAAGAAAGGAAACATGCACTTAAATGTCAAAAGTTCCCCATCAAAAACTTCCTCCTACTCAGAAGGAAAGCTGTAGCAACAGGCATTTCAAGTTTAGCAAGAAAATGCAGTTAACACCATAAAGGAATTGCTGAGGATTCTAAACTTTAAAGCCATGCTTCGATTTTTCTGTTTTTTTCTGTCTTAAACTTTAAAACCAGGCTCTGATTTTTTTGATATTTCTGATGCAGCATCAGAATATACTGGGGGTGGGGGGAGAATAAGGATGTGAACTTATTATTATTATTATATTTTTTTGCATTTCCACATTGAATACAGACAACTTTTCTTTGGAAGAGGAAGAAGCTCTTTGAATAAATGCGATTATATCCATATAGGTTGCTTAGGTAGACCTGTTCTTTTATTACACGTTGCATGAATTATGTTTAGCGTTTCTACAGGGTCTCAAAACTGAAAGTAAAAAGCCATTATTTCTAAGTTTGAGTCGGGTGGCGGAAGCCAAATAAAAAGGCCTTTGATGTCAATCCCTGATACAGGTTGGGAATATATCTGAACCCACCAGGATTCAAACCAGGCATCAGCAAGATGCCAAATTCATTCTTCCAATCGGGAAAGGCTAGGGAAATGTGCCTCCATCGAAATTCAACGTTGGCGGACCTCAGGGGCCAAAGATACTTTGAGCCTAAAGAATTCTGTAGGGGCTGGAGCGATAGCACAGTGAGTTTGCCTTGCACGCAGCTGACCCAGGTTCGATTCCCAGCATCCCATTAGGGTCTCCCAAGTCCTGCCAGGAGTGATTCCTGGGTGCATGAGCCAGGAGTAAACCCTGTGCATCGCCGGGTGTGACCCCAAAAAAAAATTCCCTAAACTGATTTTTTTAAAAGGGTATTTTACCAAGATGCAGCTCAGACACTCAGCTTCTACCAGTAACCCCATCCTCAAGTCTTGAAAGCGTTGCTATGGTCTGCAGAGAACCCAACAGAACAAAGTGCTCGCATTCATTCCTGATCGAGGTATGACATCCCAGTTACTGAAGACCTCCAGCTCCCCCCCAAAAAGTTCTGCCTGGCATTTGCACTACAATGAGGGGGGGGTGTGGGGAGAGGGGGGTGGGGTGGGGGACACGTACAACACGCTGCGTTCGAGAACCAACTTTAGCCAATCTGACCTTTTTCCAAAGCGTTTTTGTCTGTTTGGCAACTTTTACTCCAATAAGTGCCTCGGTCCATGCCATCCTGAATTTCAGATGTTCTAATTTTGGAGCCTAGTAAAAGTCTGTCTCTAGCGTCGGCACCGGACGAGGGGGTGAGAGCTGCAAGAGGCGGGGGAGAATCGGGGATCCGCATGGGGGCTTGGCCACTGGGGGGGGAGGGTGGACGGGTGGAGAGGGGGCCGGGTCCCCCCCCACTCCCGAGCGGCCGGCCCTGGGGTGCCTGCAGCGCACCCGCGGGGGAGGAGGGGGATGGGCCGGGAAGGGGGCGGCGCCCCGGGAGCGGGTCCAGGCTCCAGCGGAGGCGGGCGGGGAGCTGGCCCGGAGGTGGGTGTGTGCGTCTGGGTGTGTCCAGGCGCCCTAGGGGGGGAGGTGGGGACGGGGACGCCCACCCCGGGGTCCTGAGGGAGGGGCCCGGCGAGGGGGCGGGTCCGGCCGCTGCGCCGGGCCGGGGGGCCGAGTAGGTGCAAGGTTCCCCCGAGTGCCCGGAGTCGGAGAGAGTGGGGGGGGTGGGGGTACAAGGACCTGATCGCCCCCGAGGTGGGGGAGGGGAGGGGAGCCAGGCTGCGGCGATCGCGACCCCCGGGCTGGGCAGTCGGACGGGGGCGTGCGGGACCCCGAGCCAGTGCGGGAGCAGCAACCTACCTCCGGGGGTGGAAATGGGCCGGAATGGGCCGGAACCCCGTCCCGGAAGTGAAACCCCCCACCTCCTCCCCCGGAGCGGGCGACGTGCCGGAAGGAAATCGGTCACCCTCACGCCGCCCCCCGCTCCCCTCCCCCAGCGCGCCGCGGCCCGCGCGCCCCCTCCCCTCGGCTCTTCCTCTTCGGCGGCCGGGCGGGAGGCGGAGCCTCGCGTCACGTGGTGGTGGTGGTGGCGTGGGGGGGGCAGTCAGGCCACGCCCACCACCCGCGGGGCGTGGCCTGAGGTGGGCCGAGGGCCGGGGGAGAGGAGGCGGAGCTAAAGCCCGACGCCGGCGGGAAAGACGCGTGCGTCATGACGTCACGGCGCGCGCCCTATATATAGGGCCGCCGGGCCGCCATCTCGGCCTCTCTCGGCGGCAGCGCGGCGCGCGCAGGTTCGTCTCCCTCCGCGGCCGGGACGCGGCTCCGCGGCCGGGACGCGGCGGATGGTCCCGCCGGGGGTCGCGCGTGGGGGTTGGGGCCCTCCCGAGGCCGCGAGGGGCGCGGAGGCGGCCGATGTCGGGGGATGCGCGGCCGCCGCCGCGGTGATGAAGCTCGTGTTGGTAGGGACATCCGAGACGGCGCTGATGAACGCCAACGGCTCTGAGGGCGGCGCGGGTGGGCTACGGGGGTGGACGGAAGGGGCAGGCGCCGGCGACCCCTTGACTTGAGTCTCTTTCCCTCCCCCACCCAGGAGCAGCCGTTGGCGAGCAGCCCCCGAGGCGGGTGAGTCGCGGCGGGGCGACGGGGACGCGCGCAGGGCGGCGCGGGCGCGCCGGTGATGACGCAGAGTAGTGGGCAGAAGGGATTTCTGAGAATGCTGTTGTCTGAGGCCTGCCGGGGCCCCTGGGGGGTCGCCCCGCGCGAGCGGGAGCCCCTCCTCACCGCCTTCTACCCTCCTTCCCTCCCCCAGCTCCGATCGCCGCGGGAAGCCTTTGCCCGGTGAGTGGCGGCAGCCCGGGGTCAGCGGGCGGGCTGGCGGCGCCGAGTGATGACGTCATATTTGCTACTCTTGACCGTGGGGGTGACGACACGTCCTACCACCGTTTTAAAAAGCTGAGGCGCCGGGTGCGAGGCGCGCGGCGGTCCTGATGGGTGCGGCGCCGGCGCTGACGCAAGTGCCGTTTCTCTCGATTTGCCCCCCACCCCCAGGTCGCCAGGTGTAGGCGTCATCGCCGCCCCTGCCCGCGATGGATGGGGGCCAGCAGGTGAGTGAGAAACGGCTGAGGAAGTCGGTTGAGGTGGCGGGCGGGGGGGGGGGTTAGTTGCTTAGTGTTTTGCTTTGCAGTTTGGGTTCCACGTGACTCGGGGTGCTCGGGGGACCATATGGGTTGCTAGGGCTCGAACCCAGGTCGACCACGTGCAAGGCCAACGCCCGCCCCTAGGGTCCGGGCTTGATTATTGCCTCGAGGTTCCACCTGGCAGTGCTGAAGGGTCCGTCCTGGGTTGGGTTTGCAACGGGTGCTGGCTCTGGATCTCTGGATCGGGAGGCGGACTTGCATCTGAGTGCCCTGGGCAGAGGCAGATACGATGATGGTTGCATAGTTCAGCAGATTGGCTGTGAAGAGATGAACCATGTCTGATGTATCTGGACAGAATGACGGGCGGCCTGCACGCGGCTGGCAGGGTCCCGTTAAAGCCCACTCTCCCACTTTTTTCTAGGCTCTGCATAGACATGGCTGGAAGACAAAGGAGTAAGTGAAGTGGGAGTGCAATCAGGGTGGCTTCCCGGTGGCGCTGGGCTGTCTGTCCTTTCCAAGCAGCCTGTATGATGATAAGCAAAGACTGACTCGAAGTGTGAAGGTCTTATTAGCTCTACCTGACGCGAAGCTTGAGGCCTCCGGGAGGGGAGACCCGGCTTGCTTGCCACTCAGGACCGCTCTCTTTTCTAGGTGGGGCTGACTGGCGACGTATCCGGGCCATCCCACGTTCTGGTGAGTCTTTTTGGTCTCTTTAAGTGGCAAGAGCGTCTTTCGAGACACTGCTCCACATACTGCGGGCTGAAATGCTGGCTTTCCCACGGCTGGTGCATGTGGGCTTGGGCGTGTGCTGAACGGGGTTTCTGTTAATGATGTTGATCAAATGTCTGACCTGAAGTGTGAGCCTGTAGACAGACCTAATGCTGAACTGACCCTGTGGAGGCCGTGTCCATGGCAAGGGCTGGTGACTGTTATTTTGGTGACTGACCTGTCATTGCTTTCATTTTAGATCCTGGTAAACGAAGATGAGGCTACACCTTTATTGGGATCGTGTGTAGGTAAGATGGTTCTTACTCCTTCACCTCGTGGTTATTTCCTATAGGTGCTTGTCTCTTTCATGGAATACATCCACAAGTAATCGTATCATACTTTGCATGTAGCAACAAGTTGTTTGGGGGCTAATCCTAGCAGTACTGCAGGCCAGGGAGGAAGGGGGCATGGTGTAAACCCCTGAGCCTTTCTTGTGCGAGGTGGGTTCAGGATCCCATGTGTTGCATACTGGATCACACATAGCTTTCTCATTTTTTAGGCGAAGACGTTAAAGACCATCGATGAAGGAAGGTTAGTGTTTCATTAATCTTACTATTTACTACATTTGGTGCTGTTAGTGATGATTTTCTAAATACAGATGGGAATCTCTCTGAAAAAGAGTGAAGACTTTACAAATAACCTGAAACAGTCTTTGGGGTGTCGTAAAGATCTGCCTATCCCAGCCTAGTGTTCTAAGTGAACCTAAATTTCCGCAGGTGTGAAGTGTGAAGCTGGCCATCCGGTGCGGAGCCGGGCCCTGACAGGTACTGCACCTGAGGCTGCTTCATTGGGCCGCGTGACCGGTGGGAGCCGATACCATGATGATCACATAGTTCAGCCGATGAATAGTGACGAGCACTATTAATAGTCTTTCGCTCCTATCTGATGTATCTGGCTACCACCACTCAGTTATACAGCTTGACAGCAGTGTTAGGCTTTTATTATGCAATGAAGACCTTATTTTTAGGGGTAAGGGCTGGAGGTGCTGGGGGGAGAGGGCGTTGCTGATGTAGAGTCAAGGGTGTGGCGAGTTCTTTGAGCTACTTCCCTGAGAAGTAATTTTAGATTTCTAGGCTGAATCCGAATCAGCTGCATATTTCCCTGCACAACTTCCAATGCAAGGCTAGTTCTCAAAGGGCCAGAGAAGCCAGGGCTTTCTACTTGGAATGCCTTACATTTTTTTGCATAGAAAAATACTCTTGCTCCCAAAATCAAGTTTCAAATGAGAACCTTTCTGTTTCAAAACAGGGAGATCATCTGTTTCCGTGAAGAAATAGCAAGGCAAGTCAGTAATTTGGTGTGTTTGTGAATAATCAGAATGTAACCAGTGATGTTATGATTCTGCCAAATGAAATAGAATGATATCACTCATAAAACCGTTCCATTTTTATGCTGAGGTTACTTGACTTGTATTAGGAATGCACTTGTTTCTTCCCCTTTAGTAATTAGGTGTGATGTTCACTTTTCAGGCATGCTAGAGCAATGAACCGTTGAATGCCGTGGACCATTGGACAGGTGAGGCTGCATACTGTCAGGGACGTGGATTTCTTCTGGAATATATGATGATCTCAACTTGAACTCTCTCACTGACGACTTGATGACAGCAAATGATCTGATATTCTGCATTTAAAAAGTACCATTCAATTTGAAATACAGAAAAGCAGTTCAACTTAGTTTTTTGTTCTTTGTAGGGGTCCGAGTGGATCTTAAGGATAAAAATCTGACCTGGATAAAAGTCGCATCGAATCTTAATAAACTTTGAGCAATCTGCCCAGTGTGTCTGCTCATCAATGTGAAGGTTTAAAAGATTGGCCTCCCTGTGCTGTTCTTTCATGCTTTTCCATGCTTTTCCTCAACGCTAGCCAGTTTGATAGGCAGGCAGTGCATTACTGGTTACAAGCTATCATGCAATTTGATGCTTGGTTCCATGTACAGGTACTTAACTCAGGGTGTCCAGTCTGCTGGACAGCATACTGCATTTTCTCTACGAGCAGTATGCAGGCATGAATGGGCCTTGGCACTGACCGAAGCAGGTGGGGTGCATTGGTTCAGGATGTCAGCCCACACCTGGTGTGCCAGGGCTGCCCTGATCTTCACAGCCTGACAACAGAAACATGGTCACTACTGCTTTCATGGTACTCGCACACAAGGCAAACACCCCACTATAAATTAAAAGCAAGGCAGGCTGCTATAACGGTTTGTACTAAACATAAAGCAGCATCATGGCTCTCCAGCATTCTTTTGTCTGCATTATTTATGACTTTAGGGATTTGTTCCTTTGGTTATCCCTTCCTAGCACTCAACTCCTGGTGGTGCTCCTGAGGGTTGATGTGGGGTTCCTTGCTATTAGCCTCCACCCCCCAGCTGTTTCCCTGCTCTCCCTGAAGCATGCAGTGAAGCACTTGTGCTACATGGCGTGCAGCATCCCAACAAAACCAGCAGACCTGCCAAATTGCAGGGACTCAGCACATTTGTGCCACCCTCAAACCACACCTTGAAAAACCTCAGTTTTGCTCTGTTGGTGCCAAGGGTAATTGAAACAGGGCTGGGAAGGCAGTGGCTTGAGGATCAAAGGCTGGCTCTTGCACATAGCATCCTAGTATCCTTGCTCTGCCCCCAGATTCTAGGACCCCGGAATTGGGTGAGGGCTGAGTAGTTCTCAGTAGCGTGTGAGGTTCTGGGTGTAGTTCCAGCCTGGCTGAGCCATCCTACACAGCATAACCGGCAGAAGTACAGAGCATTGCCAAAAGGGCTGTTGTTTTCTGTGTTCTTAATTACATTATGTTTGTGTAATGAACTCATGGGGGGTGAGCACTGAAACAGGTGCTTAAAGACCATGCTCCAGAAATTGAACCCAGCCCTTCCCCCACCAGGCTTGTCCTTCAGTCCTTAGTTTTCATCTAAATGCGCTTTTGGCAGGGAGGTTGTCACACCAGGCGATGCACAGGAATTATTCCTGGCTCTGCACTGAGGAAATTACCCCTGATGCTCAGAGAATCCTATGGGATGCTGGCAATCAAACCCAGATCCGCTGCATGCAAGACAAACACCCACCCCGCTGTACTATCACTCCAGCCCCAGTTGGCTATTTTCTAAAGCTATCAGTGGACCTAGATTAAAAAGGTTATAAAAGTTGCCATTCTAGGTGAAGGGACAGGAATCTACAGGTTGCTTTGAGTCGTGAAGTGGGGAGTACGTCCAGTTCTGTCCTCAAAGTCTGCCATGGCTGTACATTCACTAGGGCTTACCTTACACAGTTGGCACATAGCTGTCCTTGAAGTTGATGCTTTTCCCTGTTTTACAGAGCTGGTTGGTTCTTTTTTAAGAAATGAACACGGCTTAGAAAAATGGATGTATAAAACTGATGATTCGTGTTGGTCAATTGATCAGCAGAATGTCAAAAGTAGAAAAGAACAGTCACTCCAAGGCTCACTTGCCTTTTTATTAGTTTCCGGATCAGCAGGCTTTGAGACAATCACAGATGAGCGTGAGTGTGGCGTTTCTGTGGTGCTGGGATCAGACTTTAGACCACATACCCAGAAGGCCTGTGACCCACTGAGCAACATCACAGCCTCAACGGTGAGGTCGCCTGGGCAGCCTATAATGCTCAAAGTGTTCTTGCCACACTGGGTTGTGTTCAGGGCTGACTCCGCTCTGTCCTCGGACCACTCCTGGGGAACTTGGGGACCACGAGGGTGCCGGGAATTGAACAGGGCTGGCTGGGTGCAATGTGTGTGCCTCCCCGCTGTAGTGCTCTGAATGGAGGTGTTCAAGGTGAGAGATTCAGGTTCTGGGACTGACACTTGGGTTATCTTTTTTGTATCTTACGGTGCTCCAATGTTCGGTCTCTGGAGGAAATGTCACTAGGTCCCTGGATCTGGGGCCTCAAGTGTGGCTGGTCAGACTAAGCCAGGGACAGTTATGCATTTACAGTTACAGCATCAGGCCCACCTGTGAGGTCCTGAGTTTGATCCCTGTGCCATAAAACCTGTACTCTATCATTACAGCAGAAACCAATGTTTTATAATTCCATGTAAAAAAAATTAGCAAAAATGATTTAAAAATCCTAAATTGGAGTGGAAGAGGTAGTGCAGGAGTTGAGGCACTTGCCTTGTGTTCTGATCCCTGGCTGGCATCATGGAAGTGGCCTGTCCCTGACCCAGTCCACAGCCAGGGGTCACTACTAGCACAGAACCAGGAGTGGCCCCCAAAACAAAAACGCTAAACATGTAATCAAGATTGGGTTTCTTGTTTCCTCCTTGACAAGGATGTTGCCTGTTGGAGGGCCTTGGCCGTGCACGCAGCAGACAGACCCGGGTTCAACCCCCAGCATCCCATATGGCCCCTCTGAACCTGCCAGGAGTGAGCCCTGAGCACTGCCAAGTGTGGCCCCCAAAAATGCCTGCCGCCTCGGTTCTTTCCACCTAAAGGCCACATGTCAGATGAGTGGCGGAACTCGGGACGGGAACTGAACCCCAGAGGAGCAAGGGGACGAGGTAGGGCGGGGGGGGCAGAAGTTCAGCTCTCGGGGGGCTGTTTGTGAGGCAGCGGGCTCTTTTCTGCTTCTGGGTCTGCGGGCCAGGAGACCTGGATGTGGTAAGGCTTCAGCTCCTCGGGGGACACCGAGTCGGGTGCCCCACTCATGAGGTCGTGGCCCCGAAAGGATTTGGGGAAGGCGATGACATCTCTGATGCTCGGAGCTCCAGTGACGAGACACATCAGCCGGTCTAAGCCTGGGAATCAAGCAGAGTTAATAACAGTGTATGTGTGGGGGCGGGGGGCTTCCCTTTCCTGTAAGGACTAGAGAGTCTTGGTGTGGGGGTCACTCCTGGCGTTTGCCTTGCACACAGCCAGCTCGGCCGAGCTGGGTTTGATTCCTCCGCCCCTCTTGGAGAGCCAGCAAGCTACCAAGAGTATCTCGCCCGCACGGCAAAGCCTGGCAAGCTACCTGTGACGTATTCGATATGCCAGACACAGTAACAACAAGTCTCAAAATGAAGACGTTACTGGGCCTGCTTGAGCAAATCGATAAACAATGGGAGGAGAGTGAAGTGATATATATACACATATACGTGTATGTGTGTGTGTATATACATATATATACATACACACACATATTTGGCTTTTTGGGTCACACCAAGCATTGCTCACAGATTACTCCTGGCTCTGCACTCACATGCTCAGGAGGACCCCATGGGATGCCGGGGATCGAACCCAGGTTGGCCATGTGCATGGCAAACGCCCTCCCTGCTGTGCTATGGCTCTCGCCCTCTCTTTTTACGGAGCTTCTATTGTTGGGGTTGTTTTCTTTCTTGAAGAAAGCCCAGGACTGCTGTTCACATGTCACTGGGGATGTTCCATGTTCACTAAAGGGCCCAAGTACAACTAACGTGCTGTGCAGGGGACTTGGAGCTAGCAGACGCCCAGTGGCTCTCCGCCCTTGTTGGCAGGAACAGACGCCCACCAGGGGGCGCCAGCTCGTTCCTACTCCAAAAAAGACTAGAAAGTGGTCCTTCTCACCCCGACTTGGTGTGCCTGTGATCCCCATGGGGCTGAGACACTGACCTGGGACAGAGCCTGTGGGCAGAAATGCCCTGGGGCCGTGGGTTCCAGCCCCAGCAATCAAATTGTGTGTGTTGGGGGGTGGCAGGTAGGTTCTAAGGTTGCCTGGCGATTCTCAGCCAGCCGGCTTCAATGGAATAATGGATGCTGGGGTGACAGGCCCTAAACTGTATCTTCATAAGTAGTGAAAATGCATTTCTTAAGCATCCACTGAAAGGGGCTGGAGTGATAGCACAACGGGGAGGGCGTTTGCCTTGTATGCGGCCGACCCAGGTTCGATTCCCAGCATCCCATAGGGCCCTCAGAGCTCTGCCAGGAGTAATTCTTGAGTGCAGGAGCCAGGAGTCAGCCCTGAGCATCACTGGGTGTGACCAGAAAAGAAAAGAAAAGAAAAGAAAAGAGAAAAGAAATCCACTGAAAATGAAACACAAAATTCTCCTCGAATGCTGTCGAATGCTCGGCTGGTCCCATCCCGCCTGGGAGCCCAGAGGAGAGACCTCATGGGGGGCTGGACGAGAGGGTTACCTAAGGCGATTCCTCCGTGTGGGGGCGCCCCGGAGTCAAGCGCCTGGAGCAGGTGGGAGAGTAAGGTCACATCTTCCTGAAATGCAAAGGAAAACAACATCACCAAAACAACATTGTAGGGCGGCTACAAGTGCCACCTCGTGAAAAGGGAAAAAAATACCCAAAAACCCTTAAGAGCCAGGAAAGACACTTGGGTCAGGGACATTCCCAGGGCGCCTGGCCTGCCACTCGCTTGTGCTGTATTTGCCAAGATGGAGCAGAACAGCGATGGGAAATGCAGTGTCCAATCAGGACGCAGCAGCAGCACTTTGGCGGGGTATTGGGTTCTGTTTTGGGGCCACACCCTGCGATGCTCAGGGGTTCCTCCTGGCTCTGGACTCAGGAATCATTCCTGGCGGGGCTGGGGACCCTATGGGATGCCGAGGATTGAAGCCCGGCCGCATGTTTGCAGGGGCAGGTGCCCTCCCCGCTGTGCTGGCGTTACCTTAAGCACAGTCTCCAGGATGTAGCGCTGTAGCTCGGCCTGGTGAATCCGGATGGAGCCGCCTCCTACCTCACTGCCGTTCAGAACCAAGTCATAGTGTTGGCCCCGGACCTGGAGAGGGAAAACTTGGGGTGTCGCCTGAAGGCACCGGACCCAAGAACCTATTTTTTTTCAAATGGGGGACTTTTTGGGTCACACCCGGCAATACTCAGGGGTTCCTCCTGGCTCTGCACTCAGGAATCACTCCTGGCAGTGCTCAGGGGACCCGAGGGGATGCTGGGGATCGAACCCGGGTCGGCTGCGTGCAAGGCAAACGCCCTACCCGCTGTGCTATCGCTCCGGCCCTGGCCCCATAACTTTTTTCTTTGCCTCCCAGAGTGGGTGAGACAAGGATGGGCAAAGCCTCTGCCTCGGTTTCCCCTCCCCTCTCACCAGGAAGGATCCACACGCACCTTCTCAGGCTCAGTGGCAAGGAGGTGGCAGTCCGCAGGGTGGGGGGCCGTGAAGGGGTGATGGGCCGCCTCCAGTTCCGCGGGGTTCTCCGTCTTGCGGAGGAAAAGTGGGAAATCCACCACCCATAGGAAGGAGAAGAGAGCCGGGTCACGAAGCAGCGCCCCCCGGGCTTCCAGAAGATCTGCACACTCCAGCCGCACTCTCCCCAACAGGGAGCACTGTAGGGGTGAGAGCAAACGCAACTCAGTGCAGAACCCAGATCCTACTTGGTTGTTATTTTATTATTCTTTTGGTTTTAGGGGGCCATACCCGGCGATGCTCAGGGCTTGCTATTGGCCCTGCACTCAGGAATCACTCCTGGCAGGGCTTAGGGGACCGTATGAGATGCTGGGAATTGAACCCGGGTCAGCTGCATGCAAGGCAAGTGCCCTCACCGCTGTCTAGATTTTTTTTTGGGGGGCCACACCCGGCGATGCTCAGGGGTTCCTCCTGGCTCTGTGCTCAGGGATCACTCCTGGCAGTGCTTTGGGGACCCTATGAGGTGCCAGGGATTGAAACGCGGTCAGCCATGTGCAAGGCCAACACCCTCCCCGCTATGCTATCCCTCCAGCCCCCCCACCTTATTTTTGAGCTTTTTGGGTCACACCTGGCAATGCTCAGGGGTTCCTCCTGGCTCATGCACTCAGGAATAACTCCTGGCGGTGCTCGGGGGACCACATGGGATGCTGGAAATCGAACCCAGGTCGGGTGCATGCAAGGCAAACGCCCTCCCCTCTGTGCTATCGCTCCAGCCCCTCCCTTTTTTTTCCCTTTAACTTATTTTTAATTATGATTTGGGAGGGGTTGAACTATAGCCGCTGGAGCTCAGGGCTCACCCCTGGTGGTGCTCAGGGATCTCACTGGACCTTCTGCATGCAAAGCACAAACAGCCCACTGGGCTGTCTCCGCCGCAAACCCTAGGTGGTTTTTCCAAGTGACTAGATAATAACAGCTCAAAGGAAGGGCCAGAGAGAGGGTCCAGGTAAGCAGGACGCTGTGCCTGGACTCCATGTCAGGTATGTCTGCAGGAGCTGACAGAGGCCCAGACAGGGCTTGTCTTTTTATTTTGGTCACACCCAGCGATGCTCAGGGGTTCCTCCTGGCTCATGCACTCAGGAATCACTCCTGGCGGTGCTCGGGGGACCCTATGGGATGCTGGGAATCGAACCCGGGTCAGCCGCGTGCAAGGCCAACGCCCTCCCCGCCGTGCTTTTGCTCCGGCCCCTGCACGGGGCTTGCCTACCGCAGCCTGGTGCTGGCCAGCGCTGAGGAGGACCACATCCTCGTCCTGGGCTTCCAGGAGTCCCTCGAGTGCCCGGCTCTGCTCCCGTACCACAAGCTCGGCGGCAGGAGAATTCCAGTTTCTGTTGGCTTTCAGAAAAACAGGTAAGACTTCCTACGATAAAGAAAGAGAGATTCACATTTTTTAAAAACGGAGAGTTTCAGGGGCTGGAGCGATAGCGCAGCGGGTAGGGCGTTGGCCTTGCACGCAGCCGACCCGGGTTCGATTCCCAGCGTCCCATATGATCTCCTGAGCATCACCAGGAGTAACCCCTGTGCATCGTCAGGTGTGACCCAAAAAGCAAAAAAATTTAAAAAATAAAAATAAAAACGGAGACTCTCAAGGACCGGAGAGATAGTTTGTTTGCCTGGCACGCGGTTGACCCAGGTTCGATCCCCGGCATCCCACAGGATCCGTCGGGGCACTGCCAGGAATCATTCCTGAGTGCAGAGCCAGGAGTCAGCCCTGAGCATCCCAGGTGGGACCCAAAAAGCCAAAAATAAAACAATGTAGCATCTGTTTATTTTTCTGGTTGCCGTCCTGGTACTGGCTGCTGTATTGTCAAACAAGGGCTATGTGTGCTAGGCACACAGGCTCTCCGTACTTCTAACTGGGTCAAAATCTTTTTTTTTATGGGAACACGGTTAGACTTTCACATTCTGGTTAATGGTGCACCATTTAAGCTGAAGTCGTACGTAGATTAACTAAAAAAAATTAAAAATAGAAAACAATCTAAAATAATGAGACTCTCAAACTAATACCATAAAAAACTTTTTTTCCCCTGCTTTTTGGGTCACACCCGGAGATGCACAAGGGTTACTCCTGGCTTTGCACTCAGGAATTACTCCTGGCAGTGCTCAGGGGTCAATATGGAATGCTGGGAATTGAACCCGGGTTGGCCGCATGCAAGGTAAACGCCCTGCCTACTGTACTATCGCTCCAGCTCCCAAAACTTAAGCTACAGCTTGCCTTATGCATGGTCGACCCAGGTTTTATCGCCAGCACCCCATAAGGTCCCCCAAGCCCACAAGAAGTAATCCTTGAGAATCACCCCCCCAAAAAAATTCTTAAGCAGTTATTAAAAATATTACATTAAAACACTGAATCTCTAAAAGGGGTGAGGGGAACAGCTACAGTGAACTCCTTACCTGATTAAAATTGTCTGTTGCAAATTTCCTGATGGATTCAATGTCTTTCCTTTTTAAGTATTTCTGATGATAGAAAATCAAAGTGGAATCGTCAATACAGTCCTTCATAAACATTTGCCTAAATGAAGTATAGGAGTTTTGTTGTAATGCAAAGAGCTCTAGCTCTCGTTCTATTTTCTATTACAGTTTTTTAATTTTGAGTCTTGGGCCACTGTTCCCCGTGGTCAGAGGCTACCTCTGGGCTACTCAGGTCCGGAACTCTTCCTTCTGAAGGTGTTTTTCTTCTCTAGAAGCTTTAAGAACACTGTTAAGCCTTTCTGGGCCAAGGAGACTACATAGCTGGTAGGGTGCTTACATGCATATGGTCCACTGGGGTCCAATTCCCAGCATCCCATAAGGTCCCCCAACCACCTCCAGGAGTGATCTCTGAGCACCACAAGGGTTACTCCTTGCTTTGCACTCAGGAATTACTCCTGGCGGTGCTCAGGGGACCATACGGGATGCTGGGAACCGAACCTGGGTTGGGCGCGTGCAAGGCAAACGCCCTACCCGCTGTGCTAGTGCTCCGGCTCAAATCATCTTTATTTTATTTATTTATTTTTTTTGCTTCTGGGCCACAGCCAGCAGTACTCAGGGGTTACTCCTCGCTCTGTGCTCAGAGATCACTCTTGGTAGGCTCAGGTGATCTTACAGGGTGCCAGGGATCAAACCCCGGGTGACTGTGTACAAGGTAAGTCTCTACTTGCTGTGCTATCACTCTGGCCCCAAACAAAATACTTTATATAAAACTACTTTGTGGGCCTGCAGTGATAGCAGAGTGGGGAGGGCATCTGCCTTGGAGGGGACCCACCTGGGTTTGATCCCCGGCGACCCCGATGGCCCCCGAGTCACACCAGGAGTAAGCCCTAAGCATCGTGAGGTGTATCCTGAAAACCTTTGTTTGTTTGGTGGGGTCACCCAGAGCTGCTCTGGGCTACTCCTAGCTCTGTGCGCAGGGGATCACATGGTACCAGCAATCAAGCCTTGATGTACAGATGGACTCCAGCTCCCAAAGACAGAATACTCAGCTTCAAGGAGAAGTGCTCTCGCTGACGTCCTGATGTGCAGCAGTGAATGAACTTACTCCCCAGATTTTTATTTCCTGGAGAAGACACAGCCCCGGTCCCACTCACTGTTCCTCCGGGGACGCAGATGGCCTTCACACTCCCCTGGGGTTTGCCAAGGCCGCCCTGGAGAAGGTTAACGCCTGTGTTCCTGAACACGTCGCTGACGTCTACGATCTGGGAAACGGGAACCAGGGGAAGAGGTAACAGAACATGAATTTAGTTTAAGGAAAGTTTTCAAGAGTTGATCCTTTAACAGTCTCCACTGCCTTCACGGAAGAGTCCCCTGGACTGGCATCACCAACGGTGTCACTGTATGAGCTGCTCACACATTTGTCATTTGTTCATTTCATCTTTTTTATTTTGTTTTGTTTTTTGGCTTTTTTTTTGCTTTTTGAGTCACACCCGGTGATGCACAGGTTACTCCTGGCTCTTCACTCAGGAATCATTCCTGGCAGTGCTCGGGGGACCCTATGGGATGCTGGGAATCGAACCCGGGTCAGCTGCATGCAAGGCAAATGCCCTCCTCGCTGTGCTATCGCTCCAGCTCGTTTCATCTTTAGAACAAGAGTGCAGGTTAGGAACTGTATATGGCTAACTCCAGCAGTGCTCAGGGGTTACTCCCAGCTTAGTGCTCATGGATTGCGGCTGCTGGTGCTCAGAGGACCACGTGGTGCTGAGTCTAAACCCAGGGCTCTGGCATCCAAAGTTGGTTCAGCTCTTTGAACCCCCTCCCCAAGCCATCTCTCCCTTTTGTTCTTTTTTTTTTCTTTAAAAAAATTTCACATCACCAGGGCTGGAGCGATAGCACAGCGGGTAGGACATTTGCCTTGCACGCAACTGACCCAGGTTCTATTCCCAGCATCCCACAGGGTCCCCTAAGCACCACGAGGAGTGATTTCTGGGTTCGGAGCCAGGAGGAACCCCTGTGCATTGCCGGGCGTGACCCAAGAAAGCAAAAAAAAAAAATTTCGTGTCACCACTCATGTCCATTTTAATTAATAATGGGAGCTTTGTTCTAAAACTTTGCTATGAATAGTCGATTGTAAGAAATCAGCTTTGGAACACAGCGATAAAAAATACGCTGGCATGCAAACATGCCACTTGCATGCTCCCGCCAGCCTGGTAACAAACAACCATCGGTATTTGTAACGGGGGACAGATCCTGCTCCTTTGGAGGCTCTGGCAGGGGGCACAGCTACTCGGACACCCTCGACCGAAGACCGGTCCGTCTCTATCGGGCAGGCCGTCCTCTTCGACCGAGCGAGCGTGCAGCTTCGGGAGGGACATGGAGCGGTGAGGGAGGAAGGGGACACCCGCCTAGCCAGCCAGATCAGCCGAATCAACCCTGGCGATCAATGGGGTGGCAGATGTCGCAGCCAGATCGCCCTCTCATCCGGGCTGGAGCGACGGCACAGTGGGCTGGAGCGATAGTACAGTTGTAGGGCGTTTGCCTTGTGCACGGTTGGCCTAGCCGAGCCGGGTACAATTCCTCCACCCCTCTTGGAGAGCCCGGCAAGCTACTGAGAGTATCTCACCCGCAGAGCCTGGCAAGCTCCCCATGACGTATTTGATATGCCAAACGCAGTAACAAGTCTCACAATGGAGACCTTACTGGGCCCGCTCAAGCAAATCGATGAACAACGGGAGGACAGTGACAGATAAATTCTGCAGTGGATCCCCCAGGTGGAGAGGCACTGCTTTGGGGCAGTGGAGGGAAATACCTTCATCCCAAAGCGGGTGTCGGGCTTGTCTGTCCCGTAGCTGGCCAGCGCCTCGGCGAAAGTCAGGGAGGGAAAAGGCACCAGCAGCGGCCCTTTGTCCTGGGGCCAGCAGTACTGCAGCAGACCCTCAGTCAGGCTCCGGACCCCAGCCTGGTCCACGAAAGACATCTCGATGTCAACCTGCAGGAGAACGGGGCAGGGCGGACGTGAGCACCCATGGTAACTGAAGTGTGTGTGCACGCACACACACGCGCACACATATGTACACACACACATGCACAGTAACTATAAGTACACACACATAGTAACTAATTACACGTATGTGATAACTGTAAGTACACATGGTAACTAAGTGCAGACATGGTAACCTATGTATACACACACACAGTAACTGTAAATACACAGACACACAGTAACTAAGTACACACACAGTATCTAAATACACCACAAGCACACATGCACCTGCACACACACAGTAACTATAAGTACACACACAGAAACTGTGAATGCACACGGTAACTGAGTACACACACAGTAAGTGTGAGTATACACACATGGTAACTGTAAGTACGCACACAGACACTCACAGTAATTAAGTACACACACAGTAACTGTGTGCGTACACATGCACACACAATCAACTTCCAAATGACTGTAGGTTCAAATGACATAAACACTAGAGCTCTCTCTGGAACATTTTTTGTTTTTGCTTTTTGGGTCATACCCGGCCATGCTCAGGGGTTCCTCCTGACTCTGCACTCAGGAATCACTCCTGTGGTGCTCAGGGGACCCTATGGGGTGCCGGGGATCGAACCCAGGTCGGCCATGTGCAAGGCAAATGCCCTACCCATTGTGCTATCACTCCGGCCCCTGTCTCTGGAACTTCTTAATTTTGAACCACACCCAGCGATGCTCAGGGTCAACTCCTGCCTCTGTGCTCAGGGATCACCCCTGGCGGTGCACAGGATGCAGGGGATCAAATCCAGGTGGGCCGCATGCCCAGCAAGCGCCCTCCCAGCCCGAGGCAGAATTACTGTCCTGCTCTTGAAATACTTTGGCAGTAATAAACCGGAATCTATGAGTCACAGTCAAGCATTATTTAGTAATAATGCTAAAAAGTAATAATAACTCAGCATTACCTGAGTAAACTCGGGCTGTCTGTCGGGTCTTGAACCTTCGTCTCGGTAACATCGGGCCACCTGGAAGTACCTACAGTTGGATCACAGCAGACCCCAGTCACGATGTTGCTGTCTCTCTCACATACACACACACACACACACGCGCGCGCGCGCGCGACGCTACACAAAGGACGACAAACCAAGGAGCCTGCTGACCCACAGGACCGGCCTGGTGATGTCATCACAGACACTCAGGGGCAGGCACAGGCTCTGGCCTGGAGGGCCCTGAGCACCGCTAGAATCACACAGTACAGGGGTGTCTGCGGGGGCGTCTTGCCAGGGCTCACGCATTGCACTGCATGCAAGGAAGCTTGTGTTGCTTTTGTCTGGGGGCTCCTGCTGAGCTCACAGGGGATCCTACGGGGTACTGGGGATCGAACTCCCCAGTGGGCTGCATGCCAGGCACGTGCACTGATGCTGTACTGTATCCAGGGCCAACGTGCTACTTTCCATGCATTCTCGGGAGTCAGTTCATCCCTCGCAGAAGGACCAGCTCCCAGTTTTCTAGACTTGTCCAATCAAAAGAATTTCAAGCTTCCGGATGCCTCGTCTGCAGCTCTCCGAGCTCAGGCACTCTGGTTCCTTGCAGTGGTTTTTCTCTACCTGTGTTGTTGCAATATCTGGGGGTCCCCCAGGGGCGGTATTCTCGGCCACCGCCAGTGTGTCTGAGATCAGGTGTGCTCGGAATGCACACACTTCCTGCACTGTCAGGAGATGCGGCGGTCTCACGCCAACTCCTTCCCTTCCGCGTTTCTCCCTTCTGCGACACCTGTCCCTGCCGCCACTCACCAACCCCCCATGGCCACTCACCTGTCCAACCCGCCAACCATCAGAAGCTGCTTAAACTGCTGAGGGCTCTGGGGGAGGGAGTAAAACTTGCCAGGTTCCCGCGATGGTACGAGGAACTCTTTTGCACCCTTTAAGGAGAGGAGAACAGAAATATGGAAAACAACCACAACGCAGGTAAAAGTGGATTCTTTAGCACATCAGTGAAAGCAAAGAGTAAAGCGAGGGGATGGAGCGAGAGCACAGCGGGGAGGGCGTTGGCCTTGCACGCAGCTGACCCGGGTTTGATCCCTGGCATCACATAGGGTTCCCCGAGCACCGCCAGAGTGATCCCTGAGTGCAGAGCCAGGAATCAGCCCTGAGCAGCACCAGTGGCCCTCTAATAAATAGCTAAGTGAACACAAGACATCAAGACATGCTCTTTTTTTTTTTTTTAATTTTTTGGCATTGCTGGGGATCAAACCCAAGCCTCACACTTGTAAGGCAAGTGCTCTAACCTCTCAGCACCCAGCGCTGGCCCAGGAGAATTCCTGCTAGGTTATTTTCCCCCAGAGCTCAAAAGAGTAGGTGTGAAGTGGTGTTAAGTAGGAGCCAGAGAGAGCCCAGGGGGCTGACCCTAAAAGCAGAGTGGAGGACAGGCCCTGTGTCTGGCTGTGGCGCCAAAATAATCATGATCACGATCATCCTGCAGTTCCGTTGATTGCCTCGAGAAGGCACCAGTAACGTCTCCTTCTTCCTAGCCCTGAGATTTTAAAAGAGCCATATTCAATGCTCTTTCAGGATTAGGAGAATGAGACCCATCATTGTTACTGGTATTTGGCATATTGAGTACGACACGGGCAGTTTTCCAGACTCTGCTCTGCGGGCAGGATACTTTTGGTAGCCTGCCAGGTTCTCTAAAGGAAAAATAAGATAATAAGATGTCGTGAGGCTGCGAATGCGGCCACGCACTTCCGGAAGCTGGGTTATATAGTCTCTTCATCTTGACCGTTGATGGGACCAACCTGGCGCTGGCGGCAGCTGGTGGGTGTGACACCTGCCTACTGGAAGATGGGGGGTCTGGGTGGAGAAGGCCCAGTCCCAGTCCGAGTAGGCTCAAAAATATGGAACACTTCACGAATTTGCGTGTCATCCTTGCCAAAATAATAAAAAAAAAAAAACTAAATAAATAACTAAATACATCCCCAGTTCCATCAAGGAATTTGTGTTCCTAGCTGTTTTTTTTTGGGAGGGGGGTGTCACACCCGGTGATGCTCAGGAGTTCCTCCTGGCTTTGCACCCAGGGATCACTCCTGGCAGTACTTGGGACCATATGGAATGCCGGGGATCGAACCCAGCTCAGCCGCGTTCAAGGTTAATGCCCTCCACACTGTGCTATTGCTCCGCCCCCCCACCCAGTTGCTTTTTTTTTTTCTTTTTGGGTCACACCCAGCAATGATCAGGGGTTACTCCTGTTCATGCTCAGGGGACCCTATGGGATGCTGGGAATCGAACCTGGGTTGACCTCGTGCAAGGCAAACGCCCTACCCGCTGTGCTATCACTCTAGTCCCCCTAGTTGCTTTTCTAACTTCAACCATCACTGACCAGATCCTCAAATCGGATGACTTATGTTTCAATGAACAAAGGTTTCTTTTTTCTTTCTTTCCTTCTTTCTTTTTTTTTTGGGTCACACCCGGCGATGCACAGGGGTTCCTCCTGCTTTGTACTCAGGAATTACTCCTAGTGGTTCTTAAGGGTACCATATGGGATGCTGGGAATTGAACCCGGGTTGACTGCGTGTAAGACAAACATCCTACCCGCTGTACTATCGCTCTAGTCACCAAAGGTATCTTTTGATGGAACCAGCTCACTAGTGATTTGCATATTCTTTTTTTTTTTTTTTGCTTTTTAGGTCACACCCAGTAATACACAGGGGTCACTTCTGGCTCTGCACTCAGGAATCACCCCTGGCAGTGCTCAGGGGACCATATGGGATGCTGGGAATCGAACCCTGGTCGGCCACATGCAAGACAAACGCCCTACCCGCTGTGCTATTGCATCTTCTAACCTAAATAAAAGTACAGTGCCCGTCAAATCCATGAGTCTGACTCAAAATCGCAGTTCCGGGGGGATCCTGTCAACCCCAGGAGGCAGACCTGTGAGAGCGCCATCCTGAGGCAATAGTAAGATAAGTGTGGGCCACAGAGCTGTGGAAACAAAGTGGGTAGCTTCCCAGCTCATCACCAGCCGGGTGGTTTAAAGAACAGACGTACCCCAGGGGTCCTCTTAAACATCGTCGGTGTTTCGACATCCACAAACCCTGGAAAGGCGAGAAACACCATCGTTAAACCGAGAGAAGTCAGGGCTGGAGCGATAGCACAGCAGGGAGGGCGTTTGCAGCCAATCCAGGTTTGATTCCCAGCATCCCATAGGGTCCCCCCGAGCACCGCCAGGAGTAATTCCTGAGTGCAGAGCCAGGAGTCAGCCCTGAGCATCATTGGGTGTGACCCAAAAAAGCAAATATAAATAAACAGAGAGAAGCCTTTCGGACACTGTCGCACGCGGCCCAGAACTGAGAGCCCTTGTGTGGGAACGTTGGCTGAGTTAAGTCGCCGGCTGACTGATGCTGAGTTTTTTGGGGGTGGGATAGGGGAGCAACCCACACCTGCTGGGGCTCTGGACTCAGGGGCCACCAGTGCTCATTTCCACCTTCAGGCCATGTTGTGTCCGACTTGGGATGCTAAGGAGACGGGGCAGTGGACAGAAACAGAACCAGAGCAATAGCCCAGCAGGGAGGGCGTTGGTCTTGCACGTGGCCGACCCGGGTTCGATCCCGAGCATCCCCAAAGCCCCCCAGAAGCTCCGCCAGGAGTGATTCCTGAGACAGAGCCAGGAGTGAGCCCTGAGCACCACCGGGTGTGAAAGCAGATGTTCAGAAGCCCCCTCCCCCGAGGCCCGGCCGCGCTCACCGTGCCGCCCACAGAGGTACTCGCGCATCCTGTGGACCATCTGGGATCGCAGGCGCAGGTTGTACTGCATCTGGGCACTGCGCAGGTCCAGGTAGCGGTACTGCAGGCGGAGCGCCTCGGTTTTCTAGAGACATTCACGGGCCGGGTCAGACCACGGGAAGAGACTGAGGGTGACGGAAGAAGCTCACGGGTTAGGCACAGAGCTGGGGCTTCTCGGAACCCCACAGAACCCCACAGAACCCCACGCCATCCTTTGCGGCCACCCCGGTGGGACCAAAAATCCCTCGTTTCCGGGACGCCACAACTTCCAGGCCGCTGCTTATGGATTTTGAGCTTCACGCCCCCATATCAGTGACCCGTGCCCTTTCCCGCTTATAACTGCCTGCTTTATCGGACACAAACCCATTTATAAGCTCACAGATCTTTTTTTCTTTTTGTTTTTTTTTGGGGGGGGACTGTCCCCGACACACACCTGTAGCTCAAGGATCTCTCCTGGCAAGCTCAGGGGACCCTATGGGATGCCAGGGATCCAACCAGGATCGGCCGCATGCAAGGCAAACGCCCTTCCCGCTGTGCTATCGCTCAGGCCCCTTACTGTGTACATATATTTAAAATGTACACATTCCCAGAAGGGAGCACCGAGTAAAGGGTGTTGGGAGGATCCTCCCAGGATGGGAGATGCATGCTGAAAGTAGACTACAGACCGAACATGATGGCCACTCAATGCCTCTTTTGCAAACCACAGCACCCAAAAGGAGAGAGAGAACAAAAGGGAATGCCCTGCCACAGAGGCAGGGTGGGATGGGGGGTGGGGGGTGGGAGGAATACTGGGATTCGTGGTGGTGGGAAATGGGCACTGGTGGAGGGATGGGTATTTGATCATTGTATAATTGAAACCCAAGCACAAAATTTGTAAGTCTACAACTGTACCTCATGGTGTCTCACTAATAAAAATTTTAAAAAGTTTAAAAAATAAAAAAAATGCACACAGTATCATTGGAGCGATAGATAGTATTGCTCGTTGGAGATAGATAGTACAGTGGGGAGCCCTTGCACGCAGCCAACCCAGGTTCAATCCCGGCATCCCATATGGTTCCCCAAGCACCGCCAGGAGTGATTCCTGAGTGCAGAGCCAGGGGGAACCCCTGAGCACTGCTGGGTATGAACCAAAAAGCAAAAAAAAAAAAAAAAAAAGACAAAAAACCTTACTGATCATCACTATATAAGTGACAGAGGATGGGGCACCTTCACAAAGTCCTTGATTTCGAAAGGCAGCTTCTTGCAGGAATTCAGCAGCTCAGCGGTTTTCACTTGGATTTCAATCTCACCCGTCGGCATTTTCTTAAAGAAAAGGTTCATTTAGGAAATGAAAAAAAAAAATTATTCATCAGGCTAAAAAAAAAAATCAGTCATCAGGATATGTACCAAGTGTGCATTGTGAAACAAAGATACTTAATTACATATATAAATGCCCTGTGCTTATCACAGACAGCCTACAGCATAAATGCGGGGCAAGAGAAGTAGTCCAATGGTTAGAGCAACTGTCTTGCATGCAGCTGACCCAGGCACAATCCTCTGTATCACATATCACACCTGGTCCCCTGAGTCCTGCCTTAATTGATCCCTGAGCACCGAGCCAGGAGTAAACCTGAAGATCAGATGTAGTCTCGAATCAAAGCAATAATATAAATGCACGATCTCCCCATTCTGACTCTGTCTGCCAAGGGCTCTTTAACAAATGTCTCCACACCCCTGTTCACTTAGGAGTGTCTGCTATAGAGAAGATTCTAGAACGGGCAGGTTCATTTTCAGTCTGTGGGCAGGGCTCAGGTGCCCGAAGGTAAAACGGACACAGTTCTACACTCACCAGATTCACTTGTCCCTGAGGCCGTGCCACGACCGTCCCCGACACACAGACCACAGACTCCACGGGGGCATCACACAGGACCTTCCTCACAGCCGCGGCGGACTGCAGGGGATGAGGGGGACACACGGCTCCAGGTCACAAAGGGGCTTCGAGGAACTGATAGTGACTCTAGTATCAGGGAACTGAGTCTAGTCTGAGGACCTGAGCATTGCAAAATGCTCCCTGAGCTTAGGTGGGCTGTCCTGATGGCTGTGTTGGATGGAGTTTGGGGGTGCCACACCCCCATTCTGATTCCATACAACATAACAACTGAAACTGTTAGACTGTTTGCTTTTTTTCGCCTGAGAAGCAGGGTCCAAGAGCGAGATCTGACAGTGGGGAGGGCTAGATTTGAGCCTCCCTGCCCCCTCTGGCCCCCCATTTGTCCTTACTGGCTTGTGACTTCTTCCGTGAGCAATAAACTTTAAGGTAAAAGGTAAAGGCCCTCCCGTTGATCGTCGATTTGCTCGAGCGGGCCCAGTAACGTCTCCATTGGAGACTTTGTTGTTACTGTGTCTGGCATATCGAATACTCTCGGTAGCTTGCCGGGCTCTCCGAGAGGGGCGGAGGAATCGAACCTGGGTCGGCCATGTTGGCCGCTTGTAAGGCGAACGCCCTACCCGCTGTGCTATCGCTCCAGCCCAATAAACTTTATTTTATTTTATTTTATTTTTTTTTCTTTTTGAATGGGGCTGGAGCAATAGCACAGCAGGTAGGGTGTCTTGCACGTGGCCAACCCGGGTTCGATTCCTCTGTCCCTCTCGGAGAGCCTGGCAAGCTACCAAGAGTATGTAGCCCACACGGCAGAGCCGGGCAAGCTCCCCATGGCATATTCAATACGCAAAAACAAACAAAGGTAAAGGTAAAGGTAAAGGCCCTCCTGTTGATCATCGATTTGCTCGAGCGGGTCCAGTAACGTCTCCATTGGAGACTTTGTTGTTACTGTGTCTGGCATATTGAAAAAACCCAGTAACAACAAGTCTTATGCTGGAGATGTTAATGGAGATGTTACTGGTGCCCGCCCGAGCAAATTGATCAACAATTGGGAGGACAGTGCTTTTTGAGTCATACCCAGCAATGCTTGGGGGTTACTCCTTGCTCTGCAACTCAGGAATCACTCCTGGCGGTGCTTGGGGGACCCTATGGGATGCTGGAGATTGAACTCGGGTTGGCCGCATGCAAGGCATACGCCCTTCCCGCTGTGCTATCGCTCCAGCCCAAACTTCTAACTGTCAAAGTTGAAGCATCCAACTCTACCGTCCGTCCCTTGGAGGCACCAACGTGGCTTTCTAAGGAGAGCAGGGCAGTTCTTTACCTCATCCTGTGGGATGATGACCTGAACTAGTCCGTGGAAGTCTCTGAGGACCAGGAAGATATTCTGCCTGAGTGATGAAGAAAACCAACATGTCAAGAGGAAGTCCGAGTCCCAGATTTCAGTAGGCAGAACAAAAACCCCCAAATAGCTGGGAGGCCGGGGTGGGGGGTGTTGGAGCTATAGCACAGCGGGTAGGGCATTTGCCTTGCATGCGGCTGACCGGGGTTTGATTCACTAGGAGTGATTCCTGAGTGCACAGCCAGGAGTAACCCCTGAGCATCACCGGGTGTGAGATCTGGGGTTTCGTCCCTGGCACCACACAGAAACAGGGTGCAAAGAGGTCACCCTAAGGGCTGGGGTGTGCTGTTCATGCTAACATGCAGGAACCCCTGGTCCCATCCCTGCCACTGTTGGGAGGACCCCACAGGTGTAGCCCAAAAAAACAACCAAAACAAGTGATCTCATGTTTCCTTTTTTTTTTTTTTTTGCTTTTTAGGTCACACCCAGTGATGCACAGGAGTTACTCCTGGCTCATGCACTCAGGAATCACTCCTGGCGGTGCTCAGAGGACCCTATGGGATGCTGGGGATTGAACCCAGGTCAGCTGCGTGCAAGGCAAATACCCTAACCACTGTGCTATCACTCCAGCCCTTCATGTTTCCTTTTCTGTTTGGTTTTTTGGGCCACACTCAGCGGTGCTCTAGGGTTCCTCCTGGCTCTGCACCCAGGGATCACTACTGGAGGGGTTCAGGGGAACCTATGGGGTACCGGGGCTCAGACACGGCCACATACAAGGCAAGTGCCCTGCCCGCTCAGGACCCTACAGCCTTAAAACCACCTCCATGTACCTTCGGTACTGAATCCATCCACATAAAGTGACTTCTTGGCCTAAGTGGGAAGAACGCAGTTCTCCGCATGTGTTGGTCCGGGCAACAAAGCTACTGTATTCTTGAGAAGAATCAGAAATGGAAAGCAAGATTAGTAACCTGTCACTTGGCTAAGGACTTCAAAAGCTGACTCGCCATCAGTGTAGGCATTGGTCAGCAGATGAAATTCAAATTTGATTCAATCCAATTTGTCAACTGTGTCACAGGCTAATAACTTTTAAGGTGGAATTTTGCCAATGTTATGAAATCTATGGTGCTTGGGGCCATAGTGATAGTACAGCAGGGAGGGTGTCTGCCTTGCACACAGGTTGACCTGGGTTCAATCCCTGCATCCCATATGCCCCGCCCCCACCCCAGCACCGCCAGGAGTAATTCCTGAGTCCAGAGCCAGGAGTAACCCCTGAGCATCGCTGGGTGTGACCCAAAAAGTTAAAATTCAAAAATAAAATCTATGGTGCTTAAATATTACCTTGGCCTAAAATAACAAGTTCTTTTTAAATTCTTTTTAGAAAGAATTTTTCTTTTCTTTTTTTCTTTTTGGGTCACACCTGGCGATGCACAGGAGTTACTCCTGGCGGTGCTCAGGTGACCATATGGGATGCTGGGAATTGAACCCAGGTCGGCCGCGTGCAAGGCAAACGCCTTACCCGCTGTGCTATCTCTCCAGGCCCCAGCTTAAGTTCTTAATACTGTGTATCTCTTCCCCAAATATGATCCTAGTGCAACCAGCGTGATAGCACAGCAGGAAGGGCATTTGCCTGGCATGGCGACTACCTGGGTTCAATCCCTGGCATCCCATAGGTTCCACCGAGCACCACCAGGACTAATTCCTGAGGCAGAGCCAGGAGGAACCCCTGAGCATTGCCGGGTGCAACCCAAAAAGACAAAAAAAAAAAAAAAAAGGATCCTAGTAATTACAGAAGCTTGATGCAATAACTTTAGCTTTTGTAAAAGTAAAAAAAAAGTAAAAGGCCCTCCCGTTGATCGTCGATTTGCTCGAGCGGGCCCAGTAACGTCTCCATTGGAGACTTTGTTGTTACTGTGTCTGGCATATCGAATACTCTCGGTAGCTTGCCGGGCTCTCCGAGAGGGGCGGAGGAATCGAACTCGGGTCGGTCATGTTGGCCGCTTGTAAGGCGAACGCCCTACCGCTGTGCTAATGTTTAATAGATAGCTTTTGTATGAATCTAGAAAACACTGTTCAGACTTCTTAGTAGGAAAAAAAAAACTGACTTGTTATAGTTGAATTTTCCCAGTCTTTTTTTTCTTTTTTGGGTCCCACCCGGCGATGCTCAGGGCTGACTCCTGGCTCATGCATTCAGGAATCACTCCTGGCGGTGCTCGGGGGACCCTATGGGATGCCGGGAATCGAACCTGGGTGGGCCACACGCAAGGCAAACGCCCTCCCTGCTGTGCTATAGCTCCAGCCCCTTTCCAGTCTTTAAAAATAAATAAATAAAAGGGGGGGAGAAGGGAGGCAGGAGTGAATGACAGCCTTGGAGAAACTAAGTAACTGGTGATCAGCAGCTCCACTGGGAGCCCCTCAGCGTGGCCAGGAGGGGAACGGGACACTCGGGCAGGGAGCAGGGGGGCATCGCGCTGCCCAATTTTCACCTGGAATCCGCCTCTGTGCACTCAGGCCCAGACTCCTGACCACCGGCCGCGTGGTCTTCCGGGTGGCGAGGGTCAGGCCCAGGGACAGGCGACTCAGCCAGCACGGGGCCAGCATGCTGGAGCCGGGGGTCGGGGGCGCCCACGAATAATCCCACGCCGCGCCGGGGGTCGAACGCCAGGTGCGGGGGTGCAAGTCCACCCGCTTCCACGTCTCGGGAGTGTCCACGGACTTGTCTGGGGCTCGCCCCAGTCCAATATTCCAGCTCGCCTCTGCAAGGAGTCTGGAGTCCAGCTAGATGTGCAAGGTCTCCGGGGGATCTTGAGGGGCTCCCAAGGTGGAAAGCATCCCTTCAGCCCGAGTCAAGGCATCCGTTTGCACCTGTGCAAAGAGAGCAAGGCCGCGGCCGGGAGGGACCCCGAAGGTCCAGCAGCAGCAGCAGCAGCGCGCGGCGGGAGGCCGGGACGGTCACTGCGCGCGCACCCCTGGCGTCTGTCCACGCATCCCCGCGGGACCCCCAGGGAGGGAAACGCTCGGCCTCGCCCTTCAAACCGTCCAGACCGCGCTCCGAGCTCCCGATCGAGGAAGGCGAGCAAACGCCGAGACACCGATCCCGCTCCTCGGCCGACCTCGCTTTTAACTCGGTCCGCGAGCGCCCAGGATCCCCGGGAGCCAGGCGCTCCACCAATCAGGGCGGCGCGCGCCGGCCATGTTTACTCCGGGCGGAAGTTTCCTGGAGCGCTTCAGGCCTCCTTGCCGCGCGCGCCGCGGGCCCCGTAAATGCGCAGTCGGCCTTGCCCTCAGTTAACATGGCAGCCCCGGCGGCTTCACGGGCTTGAACTCGGCGCCCTCGTCGGGCCGCAGAGTGAGTCGGGAAATGATTTTAAATTCTCCGGGCGCGGAGACCCAGTGGCCCCGCGGGCGAGCGGGCGGACAGGACCGGGCCGGACTCGGGCGCCCCGCGTGGCGCAGCGGGGCCTGGGGGGAGGGGGATGAGCAGCATCCTCGGACTCCCGTGGGGCGGTCACCCGGCCGGGACTCTCCGCGGCGGGGTTTGGACTCGGCCGCGGAAGAAATGACCGGCCGAGCCGCGATGGGTCACTGCGTGCTCCGGGCCTCCGACTGGTGAGCGCCTGGGGACCGGGCCGGGCTTGGCAAGCAGGGTCTGGCCCTGTCGGGGGTCTTTATCCACCCTCCAGCCCCCCAGCACTGGGGGCTTTGGCGTGTTGCACGCTCCGGCTACGGTCAGCTGGTGTGGACCGGCGAGTGTAGGCGTTGGCGGTTCCTAACGGTTGTCCCGTTTGCAGCTGGGCCTGTACAAAGTGGGCGGGCTAGAGGGCGGTGGTCTGAGGGAGGGCGATGATGGGGCGCCGGGAGGTTCTGTTGGGGGATTTGGGGGTGTTTGGAGAGAACCCTCCAGAGCTGCCCACCCCGCCCCGCCCCGCCCCGCCCCAGCGCAGAGCTGGGATGGTCAGGGGTCCTGGGTGGACGGTCACCCCCCGCGGTGCCTGGGGAAGAGAATGCATTGGTGGGGATCAAGCCCGGGACACTTGGGGACCAGGGGGAGACAGGGATGTGTTTGCACCCCACCGGCGCCGCTTTGATCCTCTCCCCCCCCACCCCCATCTTGTGTTTGATCTGAGCCTGTTGTTTGAAGCCGGTAGCCAATGGGAAATGCAGGATTTGGATCCACGGGATTCGGGATGCACAGGCTGGGGAGGAGAGGGAAAGAGCCCAGAGGATTCCCTTAAGATCGGGAGGGCGGGGGCTGGAGCGATAGCACAGCGAGGAGGGCGTTTGCCTTGCAAGGGGCCGACCCGGGTTCGATTCCCAGCATCCCATATCGTCCCCTGAGCACCGCCAAGAGTAATTCCTGAGTGCAAAGCCAGGAGTAACCCCTGTGCATCACCAAAAAAGCTCCCCCCCCCAAAAAAAACCAAAAATGCCCTAGAAATGACCCACCAAAGCCTGGTGTCAAAATATTGAATGTGATCAAAGTAGAGAGAGAGGAATGTGGAAATCATCTGCCCCACAGGTAGGGGGAGGGTGTGGGATGGGGGGATACTGGAGTTGTTGGGGGTGGAGAGTGGGCACTGGTGAAGGTACGGGTGTTTCATTGTATGAATGAGACTTAGACCTGAAAGCTTTGTAACTGCTCTCACGGTGATTCAATAAATAAAATTATAAAAAATGAAAAAAAAGTTAAGTGGACTTTATGCCCATTTCAATCAGCTAATCAGTGGCTGAATAAACAGTACTCCTACATTAAAAAAAAAAATGACCCCAAAAGCCAAAAAAAAAAAAGAGCGATAGCACAGTGGGTAGGGCGTAGCTGAGTCGGATTCGATTCCCAGCATCCCATAGGGTCCCCTGAGCACTGCCAGGAGTAATTCCTGAGTGCAGAGCCAGGAGTGACCCCTGTGCATCGCCAGGTGTGACCCAAAAGGCAAAATAAATAAATAAAGTGAATCTGTTCCTGCTATTAAAAAAAAAAAAAGATCGGGAGAGCCATCAGATCTCTCGGAGGAGCGTGGATTCCCTTCTTAGCTGCAAGGTTTCCCGTTTCCTTCTTCCTCTCTCTGCAGAACATGGATCCTTGTGACACGCCAGCATCCACGCCGGGACAGAGCGCGGTCAGAGACTGCTCGCTCTTCCCCACCTACCTGCAGAAACGCCTGGGCTCGGTGCGGAAGCGGACCTCGCTGGCCCCCAGCCCGCCGTGCAGGAGACTCCCCCAGTGCTCGCGGCTGCAGGTGACTGCTTGGTGGCTTGTGGGCAGCTTGCAGACCCTCCTGGAAGCGCTGGAGTGGGGTGGGGTAGTGGAGGTGGGGGAGAGGTCGGGGGACCAGTTAGCGGCCCCTGGAGGCCGGGAGAGGAAGGAGATGACATGGTCGCGAGCACCGCAGTGCGAAGGCTCCTGCCTTCAAGTTTGTGCTCAGTAATTTGGTTTTGGTTTTGGGTCACAGCCAGCAGTGCTCAGGACTTAGTCCTGCCTCTTTGCTCAGGCATCACGAGGGATCGCTCGGGGCTCTGCACTCAGGAATTACTATTGGAAGGTCCAGGGATGGGATGCTGGCGAACCAGGTTGTCAAACGCCCTCCTCACTGTATTATTACTCTGGCCCTGGGCTCAGTACTTAAGTCTCTGCATTCAGGGTTTTTTTGTTTTTGTCTTTTTTGTTTTCTTTTGCTTTGCTTTTTGGGTCACACCCAGCGATGCACAGGGGTCACTCCTGGTTCATGCACTCAGGAATTACTCCTGGCCATGCTTGGGGGACCATATGGGATGCTGGGAATCGAACCCGGGTCGACCGCCTGTGCAAGGCAAACGCCCTACCCGCTGTGCTATCACTCCAGCCCCTTGTTTTTGTCTTTTTGGAGGGAGGGGTGAGGGGGTGGTATGGTTTGGTTTTGGCTCTTTGGGTCGTACCCAGTGATGCTCAGGGGTTCCTCCTGGCTCTGCACTCAGAAATTACTCCTGGGGGCTGGAGATAGCACAGTGGGTAGGGCATTTGCCTTGCACGTGGCCGACCCGGGTTCTATCCCCAGCATCCCTTAAGGTCCCCTGAGCACAGCCAGGAGTGGTTCCTGAGTGCAGAGCCAGGAGGAACCCCTGTGTACTGCCGGGTGTGACCCAAAAAGGGAAAAAAGAAGAAAGAAAGAAAGAAAGAAAGAAAGAAAGAAATCACTCCTGGTGGTGCCCCAGGGGATCGAACCCCACTCAGCCCCGGTGCTATCCCTCTGGCCTCTCAGTTTGCATTTCCGAATGTCTCCTAAGTTGTCGCCTCCTTCTGTCTTGACATCTTTCTTGTCTTTCTTTTCCCTTTTTAGGAAAATGTTGATCCTCAAAGGGTTGCGTTCCTTCTTCATAAGCAGTGGACTTTATACAGCTTGACCCCTTTATACAAGTTCTCCTACTCCAACCTGCAGGACTATTCTAGGCTTCTGAGTGCCTTCATGGCTGCTGAAAAGCAAAAAGGGCTGGCGGTGGCCGTGGGGGAAGACTTGGACTTCAGAGTACTTTTCTCTGTTCTTCTGGGAATGAAAGGCACGCCCAGAGACTCGGAAGCACTTCTCATTCAGGTATGGCATAGAAACAGTCCTGGCCTCCTAGAGAATTTTTTTTTAATTTAGATTTCTATTAGTGAAACACCATGAGGTGCAGTTGTAGATTTACAAATTTTTGTGCTTGGGTTTCAGTTATGCAATGATCGAGTACCCATCCCTCCACCAGTGCCCATTCTCCACCACCACTGATCCCAGTATCCCTCCCACCCTAGAGAATTTTTTTTTTTTTTTGCTTTTTTGGGTTACACCTGGCGATGCACAGGGGTTACTCCTGGCTCTGCACTCAGGAGTTACTCCTGGCAATGCTCAGGGGACCATATGGGATGCTGGGAATCGAACCCAGGTTGGCTGCATGCAAGGCAAATGCCCTACCCGCTGTGCTATCGCTCCAGCTCCTGTTTTTCTTCTTTTAACTAAATGGCCAATGGTATGTTTTGATTGACATCAGTTGGCGATGGGATGGGGAAAAAATATTACGTCTGTGAAAATACCCCCTTTCTCCATTAGTGGCGTGTTCATTCAGCTCTTATCTTTATATTCCAGTAAGTTATTTTTCTCTCAATGTTTAACAAAAAGAGAACAACAAAAAATTCTTGCATTATGTTCCCCATGGCTTGGAGGCCAGCCACACATGCTGGGGGAAAAGGCAGCTCAGACAGAGAAGGGAGCACCAAGTAAAGGGTGTTGGGAGGATCCTCCCAGGATGGGAGAAGCATGCTGAAAGTAGACTCTAGACCGAACGTGATGGCCACTCAATGCCTCTCTTGCAAAACACAGCACCCAAAAGGAGAGAGAGAACAAAAGGGAATGCCCTGCCACAGAGGCAGGGTGGGATGGGGGGGATGGGGGGTGGGAGGGATGCTGGGACCCGTGGTGGTGGGAAATGGGCACTGGTGGAGGGATGGGTACTGGATCATTGTATAACTGAAACCCAAGCACAAAAATTTGTAAGTCTACAACTGTACCTCGTGGTGTCTCACTAATAAAAATTTAAAAAATAAAAAATTCTTGCATACCTTGTTTGATTGGAGATTTTTTTTTTCTTTTTGGGTCACATCCAGCAATGCACAGGGGTTACTTCTGGCTTTGTACTCAGGAATTACTCCTGTGTTGCTCGGGGGACCATATGGGATGCTGGGAATCGAACCCAGGTTGGCTATGTGCAAGGCAAATGCCCTACCCGCTATACTATCTCTCCAGCCCCCTGATTGGAGAATGTTAATGTTTTTCATTTATCATTGTAAAACCAAGGACAATTTTATAACTTTTTTTGTACGGAGCTGTTACATGTAGGGCAATCTCTCTTTAAGTAGGGATAAATCACTCTAAAAGAAATGAATCTGGGGCTGGAGCCATAGCACAGCGGGGAGGGCATTTGCCTTGCACGCGGCCAACCTGGGTTTGAGTCCCAGCATCCCACAGCATCCCCTGAGCACCGCCAGGAGTAATTCCTGAGTGCAGAGCCAGGAAGAACCCCCTGAGCATCGCCGGGTATGACCCAAAAAGAAAAAGAATCCTAGATAGTTTTCCTTTCAAGTCAAGCGTCTTGCTGTTTAAATAAATTTCTTGTTTAAAAAAGAGAAAGAAAGACCACCTTAATTGCTCCCCAGTGGCCCAGTGGGGTTGGTGGAATCCACTTTGGGATACACTGCATGTAGGGAGGGAGGTCGAAAGGTCTAAAGGGAAATGGAAGAATTTTGGGTAAGTGATTTGGGGGCCCTATGGGTGGGTTCTCGAACAGCACCGGGCCCAGAGCTCCTAAGAGGGGACCACGCGAGCAAGGCCTGCACTTGGCCCCCGATACCTGCCGCCTCCCTCCCCCAATCAGTAACCCCGTGGAGATGGCGTTCACAGTTCCCTCTTCCCGCCCGCTTCTAGGTTCTCTCCAACTCGAAGCTGCCAGCCGAGAGCAAAGAAGACAAAGTGCTATGGAGTGGTTGGTTCTGCTGCGTGTTTGGGGACAGCCTCCTGGAGACCGTTCCAGAAGATTTCACCTGCCTGCCCCTGTTCCTGGCCAACGGAGCCGCCTCCAACACAGCGCTCATCACCGCCTGGTTTGAGGAAACGTTCGACTGTTTCTTCAGACCCTTAGCGATCAACGCGTTCAACCTCTCCTGGCTGGCCGCCCTGTGGACGGCGTGCAAAGTGGACTGCGACGTGGCGTCCACGGAGTTTCTCTGGTCGGTGCCCTGCAGCCCTCACAGCCTGGACATCTCCTACGCCATCCATCCCGAGGACGCCAGGGCCCTGTGGGACAGTGTCCACAGAACCCCCGGGGAGGTGACGCAGGAAGAAGTGGATCTGTTCACGGCCTGCCTGGAATCCCACTTCTACAGACATTTCAGAATTCACTTGTCGGCCACCAGGCTGGTGCGCGTGTCCACCTCGGTGGCTTCCGCCCACACTGATGGGAAAATAAAGGTTAGTTCCAGCGTATCCGCTTGTTTCTCCATCCTGCCACTCCCGTTTGCCCGGCAGATTCTGAGCAGATCTCCCCCATCAGAGAAACATCTTTAGTCCTGCCGCTGCCAGAGAATAGGAAAAAAAATTTTTTTTTTTTTTTTTGCTTTTTGGGCCACACCCGGCGATACACAGGGGTTCCTCCTGGCTCTACACTCAGCGATCACTCCTGGCAGTGCTCGGGAGACCTTATGGGGGGATGCTGGGGATCGAACCTGGGTCGGCCGCATGCAAGGCAAACGCCCTCCCCGCTGTGCTATTGCTCCAGCCCCTGAAAAAATTATTTTTTTCCTTTTTGCAGTTCTGGGAATTGAACCCAGGGCCTCACTCGTGCAAGGCAAGTGAGCCACACGCCTGGCCTGGTGAGGACAGAGTTTCTGCCTTTTTAAGCGATTTACTGGAGCGTCTTCAGCCTTTGAGAGTATTGAAAGACACCCCATGTTCTGGGTTACAGTCTTAGATAACAATCTGAATTATTCTGAAGTAGCAGAAACCTTCAAATTGGTTTTTTGATCTTTTGTTTTGTTTGTTGGTTTTGTTTTTGTTTTGTTTGGCTTTTTGGGTCACAACCAGTGATGCTCAGGGCCGACTCCTGGCTCTGCACCCAGGAATCACTCCTCGCGGTGCTTGGGGGACCCCGTGAGATGCCGGGGATCGAACCTGGGTCTGCCATGTGCAAGGCAAATGCCCTACCCCATCGCTCCAGCCTGTTTGTAGGGTTTTGTTTGGGGACCACACTTAATGGTACTCAGGGCATACTCCTGGCTCTGATTCAGCAATCATTCCTGGCAGGGCTCAGGGAACCAGATGGATCTCTTTATACGCAGAGATCCCCGGATTCGAACCCGGGGATCTCTGCGTATAAAGCAAGCACCTTCCACCACCACACACCCCCATACCAACTCTCCAATGTTGTTTTAGTCCCTCCAAACTCAATGTTCTGTTTAGTCTCAAGACACTTTGTTTCCTTGTGCCTGGAGGGTATTGGCCAACTGCATTTGAAAACTATTATAAAGATGTAGAGTAGTAACTAAGTTCGAGACACGCCTTGATGCTGGCCCCCCTTTCATAAGCACTGGGCTTCCTGGAGCAGGTCTCATTCACATCGGCTGTAAAGGGGCCCCGAGGACAGCTGTCACCATCACTTAGGGTCAGACCTCTGCTCTGTCACCTGGTTCAAAAGCTTCTGCCACGAACTGTACCCCTGGACTGACCCCCCCCCCAAAAGTCTGACATTAAGGTTTCTGCACAGGTGTTTTTGGAACCATTCCCTGGAGAACAAACTGTATAGAAATTCTGTGGTTTTTTTTTTGGGGGGGGGGGTCACACCCAGCAATGCTCAGGGGTTATTCCTGGCTTTTCACTCAAAAATTACTCCTGGCACTGCCCTGGGGACTCTATGGGATGCTGGGAATCAAACCCAGGTTCCGCCGCATGCAGGGCAAACCCCTCCCCGCTGTGCTACCGCTCCAGCCCCTAGAAACTCTTTTTTTTTTTTTCCAGAAAACAGAAACTCTTCCTAGATAATGTCAGTGCTCAGTCATGCATTAGAGTTCCAGGCATTCAGAGACAGCTCTCTGTGCCCAGGCTCCTCGGGACACTGTCATAAAGCCAGAGATTAAAGGTGTCTCAGGGGCTGGAGCGATAGCACAGCGGGTAGGGCGTTTGCCTTGCACGTAGCCGACCTGGGTTCGATCCTCAGCATCCCATATGGTCCCCCAAGCACTGCCAGGAGGAATTCCTGAGTGCAGAGCCAGGAATAACCTCTGAGCATCGCTGGGTGTGACCCAAAAAAGCAAAAAAAAACAAAAAACAAAAAAATGAAGGTGTCTCAGTCCAATGACTTCTTTTTTTTTTTTTCTTTTTGGGTGTCACACCTGGCAATGCACAGGGGTTACTCCTGACTCTGCGCTCAGGAATTACCCCTGGCAGTACTCAGGAGACCATATGGGATGCTGGGAATCGAACTAGGGTCGACTGCGTGCAAGGCAAATGCCCTATCCGCTGTGCTATTGCTCCAGCCCCCCAATGACTTCTAAGGACCCTCAACACATTATCCATTTCTTTGATTTATCCTTCTGTTGGTTTACAACTCTGTATGTAAGTCACATCTCTTGAGACTTGTGGTGTGACCTGGGGCCCACCAGCCGTGGACCAGTGTCCCCCACCACAGCCAACCAGGCTTCATTCAGTCTGTTTCAGCTGAGGATGGCAGCCGTCTGAGTTGGCATCTGCGCTGTAGTTTGCAGATTCCAGCCAGCAAGCAGTTCAGAGAGCTGGATTGCGGGATGCCCATCCCAGATCTGGGTTCCATCCCCAGCACAGCCAGGTCCCTCGGGCATCGCCAGGAACAACCCTCAAGGAACTGGAGCAATAGCACAGTGGGGAGGTCGTTTGCCCTTGCACACGGCCGACCCAGGTTCAATTCCTAGCATCCTATATGGTTCCCCGAGCACCACCAGGAGTGATTTCTGAGCACATGAGCCAGGAGTCAGCCCTGAGCATCACCAGGTGTGACCCAAAATAGCACGGTCACGGTCCTCCCGTTCTTCATCGATTTGCTCGAGCGGGCCCAGTAACGTCTCCATGGTGAGACTTGCTGTCACTGTGTTTGGCATATTGAATATGCCACGGGGAGCTTGCCAGGCTTTGCCGTGCGGGCGAGATTAGCTACTCTCAGTAGCTTGCCAGGCTCTCCGAGAGGGGCAGAAGAATCAAACCCGGCTCGGCGGGCTGAGCTGGCTGCGGAGGAATCGAACCCAGCTTGGCTGGCCCGGCCGGCTGCGCAGAAGGCAAACGCCCTACCGCTATACTGCTGAGTTTGGTACATACACAGACACACACACACGCATACACACACATACGCACACAGGTACGCACACAAAACAAACCGAAATATTTATCAGATGTCCTGGTTATCACAGTTTCATTTCAATATCTCCCTTCTTTTCTGTTTCCAGATTTTGTGCCAGAAATACCTCCTGGGGGTGCTGACATACCTGACCGAACTGGCCATCTTTCAGATCGAGTGAGGCCGTGCCCGGAGCAAACCCAGCTCACTCGTCCCGTGCCGAGGGTCTCAGCGCTGCTCACTGCCCGGCCAGGCCGGCTGCAGGGGACATAGGCGTCTGTCCCGCCAGAACCTTTGGACTTGCCCAGACGGAAGCAGGATGGCACTGGAGGGTGACAGAGATGGACTGAGCGGACCATGCACAGTAGATGTCATGATCTGCTTTGTTTATTATTCATGTCGAGAAAGAAAATTGTGTGTATTGCGCTTAATGGCCTGTGCCTGTGTTACTGCCGTGGTTCTTTCATTGTATTCCTTAGGTTTTTATTCCCTAGGGGCGCGGGCCATTTGGGGTCCCACCTGGCAGTCCTCGTGGACCTCCTGCATGTGGAGTTTGCTCTCAGCCCACCGAGCTCTCCAGCCCTGAATTCCTGAGATTGCCATCGGCTTAGATTCACATCATGTGAATCAAAACTAAAGCTAGACATCAAATCAATAAAAATTAAAATAAATAACACGAATTTTAAGATGTTTAGGAAATAAGAATTAATTTAAAAATTCAATAAAAAGAGGAACGGCAGAGGGGTGAGGGCGTGGCCAGGGCAAACTGGGGACATTGTTGGTGGGAAATGGGCACTGGTAGGGGGACAAGTATTGGAACATTGTATGACTGAAACCCAACTGTCACTGTCACTGTAGCACTGTCCTCCCATTGTTCACCAATTTTCTTGAGCGGGTACCAGTAACGTCTCCATTGTGAGTCTTGTTGTTACTGTGTCTGGCATATCGAATACGTCACAGGGAGTTTGCCAGGCTTTGCTGTGCGGGCGAGATACTCTCGGTAGCTTGCCGGGCTCTCCAAGAGGGGCGGAGGAATCGAATCTGGGTTGGCTGCAAGCAAGGCAAACGCCCTACCCACTATGCTATAGCTCAGGCCAGAAACCCAACTATAAACAGCCAGCTTTGTAACTGTGTATCTCATGGTGATTCTGTAGCACTGTCCTCCTGTTGTTCATCATTTGCTCGAGCAGGCCCAGTAACATCTCCATTGTGATTTGGTTGAGTAAGTCACGGGGAGCTTGCCAGGCTTTGCTGTGCTGCAGGGATATACTGTTGGTGGCTTGCTGGGCTCTCCAAGAGGGGCAGAGGAATCGAACCTGGCTTGGTTGGGCCAGCCGCGCACGCGGCCGACCCGGGTTCGATCCCCAGCATCCCATAGGGTCCCCTGAGCACTGCCAGGAGTGATTCCTGAGTGCAAAGCCAGGAATAACCTGGCTTTACATCACTGGATGTGACCCCCCCAAGAAAAGCAAGGTAAAGGTAAGGTAAAGGCCCTCCCGTTGTTCATCGATTTGCTCGAGTGGGCCCAGTAACGTCTCCATGGGAGACTTTGTTGTTACTGTGTTTGGCATATCAAATACATCACGGGAGCTTGCCAGGCTCTGCCATGCGGGCGAGATACTCTCGGTAGCTTGCCGGGCTCTCCGAGAGGGGCGGAGGAATCGAACTCAGGTCGGCCATGTTGGCTGTGTGCAAGGCAAACGCCCTACCGCTGTGCTATCGCTCCAGCCCCCCCCCAAAAAAAAAAGCAAAAAAAAATAGGGACAGAGCAATAGGACAGAGGGTGTTTGCCTTGCACATAGCCAAGCCAGGTTCAAGATCCCCGACATCCCTTAGGGTCCCCCAAACATTGCCAGGAGTGATCCCTGAGTGCAGAGCCAGGAGTAAGCCCTAAGCTCTGTCCAGTGGTGTGGCCCAAAAACCAAAAACATAATAATAACAAATAGAGGGTTGGAGCGATAGTACAGTGGGTAGAGAGTGTTTGCCTTGCACGTGGCCAACCCGGGTTCAATTCCCAGCATCTCATATTATCCCCTGAGCACCGCCAGGAGTAATTCCTGAGTGCAGAGCCAGGGAGAACCCCTGAGCATCGCCGGGTGTGACACAAAAAGCAAGTAATAATAATAGTCACAGTCACTGTCACTGTCACTGTCCTGTTGTTCATCGATTTTCTCGAGCGGACCCAGTAACGTCTCCTGTGTGAGACTTTGTTGTTACTGTGTTTGGCATATCGAATACATCACCCGGGACCCCTCTCCACCTCCATGGCATAGCTTGCCAGGCTTTGCAGTAAAGGTAAAGGCCCCTCCCGTTGATCGTCGATTTGCTCGAGCGGGCCCAGTAACGTCTCCGTTGGAGACTTTGTTGTTACTGTGTCTGGCATATCGAATACTCTCGGTAGCTTGCCGGGCTCTCCGAGAGGGGCGGAGGAATCGAACTCGGGTCGGCCATGTTGGCCGCTTGTAAGGCAAACGCCCTACCCGCTGTGCTATCGCTCCAGCCCTTTGCAGTAATAATAGTAATAATAATAACAACAAAAATAGATGTTCACTATAGCCTTATATTAAGTGATTAGAGCATAATACCTCCATAGATGTGTGTCTGTTTGTGTACCATGTGTGTATGTGTGTGTGTGTGTGTGTGTGTGTGTGTGTGTGTATAACGTGCTGGGGTGCAGAATGGGAGCCAGAGACGCTGCGGGCCCAGCCTGCAAAGTGCGCCTGATCTTGGGGCTGGAGCAATAGCACAGTGGGAAGGCATTTGCCTTGCACACGGCCAACCCGGGTTCGATTCCCAGCATCCCATATGGTCCCCTGAGCACCGCCAGGGATAATTCCTGAGTGCAGAGCCAGGAGTAACCCCTGTGCATCCCCGGGTGTGACGCAAAAAACAAGGGGAAAAAAATGCGCCTGAAAAGTGCGCCTGACTCTGGCTGGGGTCCAGGTTCAATGTGGGTCTCCGCCCAGCCACAGGAGGCCACAGGAGCGCCAGGAAGCCCCTGGGAGAGTCAGGGGGCCTGGGGGCTGGCATCTCATTTTGCAGCACCATCCAAGGCAGGAGTCAAAATAATCAAGGGGGGCGTGGTGGGCGCTGCCTGGGCCCCGAAGGACAAGGAGGCACTCGGGGACCTTCCCAAGGTGAGTGTGTCTGGAGAGAGACTTAGGCTGCAATTTTGGGGTGGGAACACTCAGAAGCTCCTCTGAGGTCCCGCTGGGCCCGGGTCCCTCTTCCTGGGCAGCTTCACGGTTCCAGGTGCGGTCCCGGCCTGGTGGGGGCCAGGGGTGGGCCGTGGAGGTGGAGGGGGGTCCCCGGGTCAGCGGAAGTAGGAGAGTCCCCGACTCTCACACAGGAAAGAGGTTCCGCTGTCCACGGAGGGTGCAGACCCCCTTTGAGTCGCGGCCGTCCCAAGGGCCCTTCCTCTGACGTCTGCGCAGGGAGCCAACACAGTGAGATGGGGTGGGGGGGAGGGACTGGGAGTCAGGCTGTAGCCCGGGAGAGCCGCGCTCGAAACACGTCCTTGGCGCGTTGGTGGTATAGTGGTGAGCATAGCTGCCTTCCAAGCAGTTGACCCGGGTTCGATTCCCGGCCAACGCATGCTGTCCTCTTTTTGAGCTTTTGCCGGCGCCCGCGTTTCAGACCTTCGGCGCCTGCACGTTTGCTGGACGCGGGCGCGGAGGTCCCGGGACCGGCCCCAGGACGCGGGGTGCGTCGGGGCAGGGCACACGCCCGCCCCGGAACCCGCGCGGGGAGGCCCGGCCGCCCTCACCCCTGCCTTTGAGCCTCTGCAGGGTCCGGAGAAGCACGCGGGGACACAGGGCGCCCCCATTTCCCGCTGCGGGGGTCCCGCGAGTGCTGGGCTCCACCCTGCCGGTCCCGGAGACCGCCCTGCGCACGCTCGCCGGCTTAGGGGTCGGGTGGGAGGGGCCCGGGGCCTTGGGGGGCGCCCTGCACCCCTCTCGCAGGAGACCGGCCTTCAGCCCCCTACTGGGGTGCACGCACCCTCCCAGTCCCCCGCTCTGCCCCTGTGTCGCGGGGACCCCCATCCCGGGGCCCTCCTGAGCCCCCAGCTTGCAGCTGAGGCGCGGGGCCCGGAGCGGGGCGCAGAAGGCTGGGGTGGGGGGCAAGGGCTCCCCTCGGGGTGCAGGGCGCGCCCCAGCAGGGTGGGGAGGGGCGACGGGGGTCGTCGCAGGCTGCAGGGGCGACGCGGGCCGGGCGGGGCGGCGGGACGCGGCGCGGCGGGCAGGGCGCGGTGCAGCCTCAGCGGCGCGTCTGGGCGAGTCGGAGGCGGCGGCGTTGGTGGTATAGTGGTGAGCATAGCTGCCTTCCAAGCAGTTGACCCGGGTTCGATTCCCGGCCAACGCACACCCTCTGCTTTTGAGCGCTTCAGCGGGGTACTTCCGGTGCATTCTTATGCGTTCTTGGGGGAGGGGTCACTTGACTGTCACTCCTGGCGATGCTTGGGGATTTAGCCAGGGAAAGGCTTGTGCTTAAATGCACCAATGTACTAACTTGGGGTCACTCTTTCCACTTACTGAAGTGCCCTACTATCGCTCATTGTATAATTGAAACCCAAGCACAAAAATTTGTAAGTCCACAACTGTACCTCAAGGTGTTTCACTAATAAATTTTTTTTAAAAAAACAAAACACTGTCCTCTCCTTGCTCATCGATTTGCTCGAGCGGGCCCAGTAACATCTCCATTTTGAGTCTTATTGTTACTGTGTTTGGCATATTGAATTCGTCACGGGTAGCTTGCCAGGCTTTGCCTTGCGGGCAAGATACTCTCGGTAGCTTGCTGGGCTCTCCGAAAGGGACGGAGGAATCGAACCTGGCTCAGCCAGGCTGGCTGTGTGCAAGGCAAACGCCCTACCGCTGTGCTATCGCTCCAGCCTAAAAATAAAAATTAATAAATAAAGTGCCCTACTATCCCTCTGGAGTCCTCATCTCTGGCCCCTGGAAGAAGCAGACACTTGGGGTGTTCAAGTCTCTATTGTTTTGGGGGTCAGATCAGAGACTCTTTTTGCTGGTGGCCCTGCCAGTGGTGCTGGGGTACCCCGAGTGGGGACTGGATTGGGCCTGCCTGGATGCACTCAGGGGGTGCCAGAGGAGCAGCAGCTGGGGGATCCGGTACCCCAAAGACCCTAGTCTGTCTCCTTCAATGACCCGCAGTACTAATCTCAGATCAAGGAAAGCTCAGCTCCCAACTGGGCTTTTCGG